TGCGGGGTTTGAAATTGATGACCATACGGTGAATAGTAGGCTCCTCCTCCCCCTCCTTGAGCAGAACCTGATGATCCCTCTTCAAATTCCCTTCTGGCGGGAGGGAATCCATACTCATATGGGTCAGGAAGTGCCACATCTTCTCGTACATGCACAGGGACTGTAACGGGCTCTTGCCGACGCTTACTCCTCCTTGGTGGTGATGGCGGGAGAGATTCAACTTCAATGGCGTGGGAGGAAGGACGTGGCGGTGCAGGAGCAGGAGGATATGCAATGACATCCCTTCGGATTTCCCGCGAACATGACAAGAGATTCTTGAAGAGCTTCTTCAAGAATGAAATTTTCTCCCCTGGCACATTATCTTCTGGTTCATTCTCCAACGTCATTGATGCAAGTTCCAACCCATCAACCTAAATAATAAACATGTTAGTCAAACACTATTTGTGTAGCTAAAGGTGATTATAGTAAATAGATATTGTGCTTACCAATGAACCGATCACGGCGCCACGTTTGGTTACCCATCTTTTTGTGAACTTGCGGTACCAAACCATGTATTCATCTTGGTACCCCATTGGCCTCGTCATTGGGATCCTATCAATTGCATACGTCTGACGAGACTCCCACATTTCGATCCATCTACGGTGCTTGGTTGGCCAATCAGTTATTGTACCCCGCAAATCCTTGCTGTACTTGTGGAGTGACTTATGTACGTCCGGTGGTGGGAGAGGAATCGGTTGCGTCCAATTATATTGTCGGACACATCTATCCGGGAGGTGCCACTCGGCAATGTTGTGGCAAATCACAGGCAACTTGCATGACCAGAGTCGGCGATCCTCGGGGTATCGCAACTCGTACAAATCCTTTGCTCCGTTCGGATACGGATCCCACTCCACCTAAGTTTCAACACAACATATAAATTAAAATCGGGCCAAATAATTTCAACAAATAAAATAGGATTCATAATCATAAAAATAAATAATGGGCTAAGACAAATAATTTCAACAAATAAAATAGGATTCATAATCATAAAAATAAATAATGGGCTAAGACAAATAATTTCAACAAATAAAATAGGATTCATAATCATAAAAATAAATAATGGGCTAAGACAAATAATTTCAACAAATAAAATAGGATTCATAATCATAAAAATAAATAATGGGCTAAGACAAATAATTTCAACAAATAAAATAGAATTCGTAATCATAAAAATAAATCATAGGCTAAGACAAATAACTTCAACAAATAAATTAAAAATAAATAATCATAAGTTAGAATGTTACCTCGTTGAATTCTATACGGTCAAGATGTTGGCGGTACCCATCTAGAGAGGAGAAACTCGTGATAGCTCCAATCCATCTAGCACCATAAGCCCATTGTCGTAGTGGCTCATCGGGACCCCAACTGTTGGCAGGGCAGATCGGAGCGAAAGTAGGAAGGTGCTCCCAAACCCATAGTTGGAGGATGAACATGGGACCACCTGCTTGCTTTGTTTTCGGATCCGTACACTTGCACAACTCCGAATATATCCTCGCCAAACAAGCAGATCCCCAACTTTTTCTCCCAATCTCATCCCAATCTTCCAAAAGAACTCGAAGCCACATACAATGCATATTTCCATCAGACTTGTTCAGAAACAAAAATCCTCCAACCAAACAAATAAGGTAGATGTGAGCATACCTCTCTATCTGAGCATCCGTGGCATCCTCCGGTAATTCCCCAGCGGTCCTCACTAGCCAAGGTATCAATAGCATAGACTTGTGTAGAGGTGGTACACGACGACCTTCTTCTGCTTCCTCTGGGATGATGATACCTAAACGCTCGCTTATATATTGGCCCCAACCATTCAATGGTTTTGAAGAACTTTCTATTATTGCATCACCATCGATTGGAAGCTCTGTCAGCATGGCTACGTCCTTCAACGTAATCGTCATCTCTCCCTCTAGAAGGTGGAATGTCTGCGTTTCTTTTCTCCATCTTTCCACCATTGCCGTAAGAAGGTTGTTGTCCATCTCCATCCCCACAAACTTTCGCACCCTCAGCAATCGCGCTCTAGATATGAAGGGCTCGATACGATCATCCCATTTAGGCAAGCGAGATAGCGACCGATGGGTGATTACGTCAAGTTGTTCCTGTAGAAAAAAAAACATTAATTATTATACAAAAAAATTAGAAGAATACTATCACATTAAAAAAAAGTACATGAGGAAGTGCCTACCGGATCTGCCGCCCAAACACTTTCAGACCGATGGTAAGGTTGCTCATCCAACAAATCGGTTTCTCGCGGTCCACCTTGAATGTATAATCTAGGATCGTAAATACTCGGATCCATCTCGACAATTTTGAGTGATAGAAGTACCAAACTAAAGAAAAAAAATCTGATGCGGAAGATCGGGCTTAGCCGCAACCACAGAGCATATTTTTTTCTTCAAGAGTGGTGGGAGGAAGAGAGGAAGAAGAATGGAGTGGTGTGAGTTTTGGTGGAATATGAGGGGGTATTATAGGTTCTGTGGGAGAGTGGATCGAGTTTACAAAACTCGAACAAGTGCATCGATTTTTATGCACTCGATCCGCGTCAAAAGCAGATCGTGGTTAGGCGCATCGAACGAACCAGATCGAGCTTAGGGTAATCGATCAACGGTTGATCGATGCTGACATCAGCGATCCACTGCATCGAGTTTTAGACACTCGATCCGCCTCATCGAGTTTGAAGCACTCGATCCGCGTCATCCCTGCTTCGCGGGTTTGACAGTCGAACGGCCTAGATCGAGTTTAGACCACTCGATCAACGGTTGGGCGCGCCTGACGTCATCGATCCGCGTCAACTGGATCGATTATAGAAGACTCGATCCACCTACCTCGAGTTTACCGCACTCGATCCGTGTCATCACTGCTTCGATGGTTGAACAATCGAACGACCCTGATCGCGTCCTAGTAAATCGATCTATGGTGGAGCGCTGTCCAGCTCATCGATCCACTTCATGTGGTTCGAGTGTCCCATCCTCGATTCACCTGGATCGTGTTTTTGACAATCGATCCACTACTGGTTCGAGTTTTGTAAACTCGAACTATGTCAAACTTTGGTAGTTTGAGAATTTTTTTTAAAAGTTTGGTATTCTGGGAATTTTTTTTAATTATTACTGTATTTTGGGAATTAATCCTATTTTTGTCCCTTGAATCGTTGGAGGATATCTGAAATTAATCCCCAATGGGAAGAATTTCTTCCATATGATACGTAAACCCCACGATGTATTTTGTTTTGACTTGACTAACTATGCACTCCCATCATTATCAACTCTAATTCTCAATCAACTGAAACAATCACAATCGCAAGTTTTGTTTATTCATATTTTCTCCTCCCCACAATCAAATCTCGTTTGTTTATTCATGTTTAATTCATTTTCATCATTATAAAAAAAATACGCAGAATATATGACTCACGTGTAGACACTGAAAAATTAATACAACTTGTCTGGCGATATTTAAAAGGAATAGTCGGACTCTTAACAAAAAAGGTAATAATCTGATACACTTTTGAACAAAATTCTGACTAATTAAACTGCTAATTATAGTTATAGTTTTTCTATCTCATACTTATAAAAGTAATAGTAATTTAAAGTAATTTCGCCTAACAAATCATCAAACATTCTTTTCGAGCTTTATTTCAACAGGTATGATCAAACCATCTATAATTAGTATTGTTGTCAAAATAGTTAGGCATGCAATCATTTGCTTTTTTATACAATAGCTCTTCTGATGAATTTTCTTCATGACTTTATTCTTCGAGACCAGAAAAAAAACCCCTCAAATGATCATAGGAGCTTTATGCAAGACTCACGCCATGAATCCTCGCCGGTTCAGATAAAAAATCTCGGCGTGGAGGACTCTCCTTTTGCATCCCAAACTTGACTGCTTGACGAGCTAGGCATCCCAAACTTTGACCACTCTAAGCAACTTCTTCTTTCTTCCTGCCAGTTTCAATGGTATCCTCCAATGTCGGTCTGCAAATAAGTTGAGTCGAGTTTTACTCTTGTTTGGTTCAGCTCATTTATTAAGGAGTCGAGTCGAGCTAGACTCGTTTACCATAATCTTGGTTTGTGTTTATATATTCATTGTCTATGTCAAGTATATATTATACATGTGATTGATGCAATGCTGGAAAAAAAATAATTAATAACCAAATTTTCAACATTAACTAATCCATGTTGTACTTTGTTGGTATATTTTGTTCATAAATTCTAATCAGTACAAATCATGTTATTTCATAGTATCAAAGCAATTTGTGATACATATATAATTTTTTTTGTAAAAATTAAAATGAAGACTTACTCACATACTCAATGTCTTAAATGTAATATATGATGTAATATATAATTTAACAATTCTATGAATTTTCAAAATCCAAATTACATAATCATCCTATGAATTATCAAAATCCAAATCATAAAATATAGATCAATTCGCTCATAAGAAGATAATCAAGTCGGCTCTCTAGCTATAATGTTGAGACATCTCATGAGTTGAACTCAACAAGTCTCCTAATCGTTAGTAAACTAGTCGAATTTCGAACATGATTTTCTCGAGCCGACCAATATCGAGCCGCTAGCTCGGCTCGTTTACAGCCCCTCCCACAAGCGCCCATATAGTTAAGGTCAACAGAGTCTCAAAAAATTGAAGTGGGAAATGACCCAACACCACAGATTTTGATATAGCGTGCCGTGGAGGAGAAATTTCAACCAAAAGGGGCGTCCACCCCAAATAAAAACCTCACCTTTTTCCCTCCAATACAAGTTGCTTAAAAAGGAAAGACCGGCGCATTGCCTACGAACCCCAAAAGTAGAAGTGCTGGACAGCAAAGCAGGCTGATACGGTTGAAACTTGAAATTGAAGGTCCACAAATCCACTCAAACCCTAGCTACTTTGCTTTCGAAACGCCAAGACTCGGTCGACGCACGTCAATGGAAATATATATTCCTATTGTTCCATCTCCATTATATTATCGGCTGTAAAATTTCATGCATGCATGGCTACTTCTCCAACCATGAATCCTCCTTCGCTTGTAGTACTCCACCTCATCATCCTTCTTTTACCCTTTTGCACAACCGCGCAGCCGCCGGAATTCCGCCTCATGTCCTGCTACAACGACGCCGGCGGGAACTACACCGCCGGCAGCACGTACCGCCGAAACCTCGACACCCTCTTGTCCTCACTCTCCGCAGACAACCAAACCACCACGGGCTTCTACAACCTCTCCATGGGCCAGGTCAACGCCATCGGCCTCTGCCGAGGCGACGTGTCGCTCGAAGAATGCCGCGGCTGCATGGCCGACGCCACGCGTCGGATCCTCGTCGACTGCCCGGTCCAGAAGACGGCGTTCGGCCACTACGGCAACACCTGCCAGATCCGGTACTCGAACCGGTCCATCTACGGTTCGCTCGAGCCGAACCCAAGCCTCTACTTGTGGAACACCCAGAACGCGTCCGACCCGACCCGGTTCGACGGCGCCTTGAACGACTTGCTGGTCGGTCTCCGGGTATCCGCAGCGGGGGGAAGCTCGGTGAGGAAATTCGCGACGGGAACGGCGCGGCAAGGGTTCGTCACCGTCTACGGCCTCGTGCAGTGCTCTCCCGATCTCTCGCGGCAGCGCTGCGACGACTGCCTCGCCGCTGCCATCGGCCAGATCGTCGGCGGGAGAATCGGGGGACAGATCTGGCAACCTTGTTGCCGGGTGGGGTATGAGACTCATCGATTTTACGCTGGAACGGAACCGCCGCCGCCGATGTCACCGACTTCTTCTCCACCGCCTCCAGCTCCGGCAGGTAAGCTTGTGAATTAGTTTTGACTACTTGAGAATAGAAATGGCAATGGGAAAGTTGAGAAGGGTATTTTGATATTTATATCTGTTTTGTGGCAGTTTTAGATTAGGTCAGATATTATGAAATGCCAGTTAGGTTGATCGATCTCTGATATATAATTTAAAAATAAAATATTAGAATAAAATTTGCAGTAAAAATTTTAAGAAACTCATTATAACATGATAGATATTATTAAATCATTCGAGAAATTAGGGTTGTCGCCTATTTATAATTTTAGTATAGCTAAAATATTATATAATAAATGATAAATGTTAAGTAATTTTGAGTAAAATTTACATTTAATTTGGTTGAAAAAGGGCCGAAAATGGACGGGTCAAAACATGTCAGGTTGAAGAGCAAGTAGCCTTGTTTGTCCGGCCTCGCCTATGGGGTGGGTGTTATACTCTCAAAGCAAGGCAAAAAGATCGTATAAAACATATCAGGTTGCAATTGTCATCCCTACTTGAGAATTTATATCGAAATGAATATTCTATGTTTTATTTTTTAGTAGGCAGAGGAAGTAAGAGTACAAGAAAGACGGCAGTTGTTGTGATTCCTATCGTCTGCGCCATCGTGCTCAGCTTCAGTTTTATCTTCTTCTGCCACCGTCGAAGATTGAAGAGGTCGAGAATCCCTAACCAGAGTCAAAGAGATGCGAGTAAGCAAATATAATTCCTGTTACACTTGTTAATTTGTGTTGGAACTTCCACTACACCTTCGAGTTACTATGACTTGGACTTTTTTTAAATGTTGGTGGTTTTACAAGTTGGATCACGAAAAATATATTTTTTATTACGTTATGCATGTTAGTGTTGCATAACAGATTAACAGTTATAAAATGGTGTTGTATAAGAATTATTTTTATGTCTTTGCACCTTACTATACTTTGTTAATATTCATTACGTAAGAAAACATCTATTGTGTAACACTATTCTACAACTACTACAACTTTGCTGCCATTATTAAAATACAGTTATAAAATGGTGTTGTATAAGAATTATTTTTATGCCTTTGCACCTTACTTTACTTTGTTAATATTCATTACGTAAGAAAACATCTATTATGACACTATTCTACAACTACTACAACTTTGCTGCCATTATTAAAATACAAGTATGTTACGTGATGCCAGTTCTTTCTTCCATTACAGCTTACCAGAAGTGTTAATAAAACTTTTGTAATCCATTTCTACTTTTACGTTGCTCCATGCTAATAACCGTTATATAAAAAGAACATTTATTACATAAGTCATACATAACATTGTTCTACTACTGTTACGTACAATACAAGTAGATTACAAAATGCTACGTGATGTCAGTTCTTTCTTTCGTGATAGCTTAACAAACATTTTCCCTTGCGAAAGTCTTATGTAACACTATTCTACAACTGTTACGAAAGATTAACATGTATCATGTAAACATTACCTAATGAACATTATATTTAACGTAATGCGGCCTATAAAAAACCTATTATAGCATGCAAAAATCTCAAGTTATAATAACTTCAAGTCGTGTTAGAAATTCCCTACTTGTTTACATATGCATCCACGTTGAAGTGATGATTTACTAGATACTCAATTCTGAATTCTGAAGCCACCGATGAGATTATCAACGAGGGATTCTTGCAATTCGATTTCCAAATTATCAGAGCTGCCACAAATGATTTCTCCATTGAAAGCAAGCTTGGAGAAGGCGGATTTGGAGTCGTATACAAGGTTTGAATCCACCATATGATTCACTATGCTCTCTCTTGAATTCACGTATTTTGAAATTCAGATTGATTATTATTTTGTAGGGAATGTTGTCAAGTGGGCAAGAAGTAGCCGTGAAGAGACTAAGAAAAGATTCAGCACAAGGAGACATAGAATTCAAAAATGAAGTGAAGTTGGTGGCTAAGCTTCAACATAGGAATCTAGTTAGACTTTTGGGCTTTTGCTTAAAAGGAAGAGAGAGGCTTCTCATCTACGAGTTCATCCCTAATGCCAGTCTCGATCATTTCCTCTTTGGTATACAAGACAAAATATCATTCATCTTGTTTTGGATTTGATATAAGTTTTTATTTTTCTCATATCGATACATTCTTATGATCAATGAAATGCAGATGTGGATAAACGAAAGGATTTGAATTGGGAGAGGCGATACAAGATAATTATAGGTGTCACTCGAGGGATGATTTACCTTCACGAGGACTCTCGATTGAAGATCATCCACCGTGATCTAAAAGCTAGCAACATTTTGTTAGATGTTGAGATGGATCCCAAGATTTCAGATTTTGGGATGGCTAGATTGTTTGATATGGATGAAACTCGGGCAATTACTAATAGAATCGTTGGGACATAGTGAGTATGAAGTGCAAAAGTACTTACAAAGAGAACTTATAAGCCCCTAATCAATGCTAGTTATGAAATTTGAGGTATGGATTTTCTATTTTTGCAGCGGATATATGGCTCCGGAATATGCAATGCATGGGCAATTTTCAGTAAAGTCTGACGTGTTCAGTTTTGGGGTGCTAATTTTAGAGATTGTGAGCGGCCACAAGAACAAACATATCCATGGCACCTCGAGCATGGAAGACCTGTTAAGCTATGTGAGTGTCCATATTCTATCTTAAATTATTTTGTTGCTCATAGTCATGGGATTAAGATGGTAAGTTGTGAGTCACTAACGGGACTTTTAACAAAATATGGTAACTAGCTAAGCTAAAAATCTAGCTAGCTGCCTAGATTAACATGCACCTACGTGACTTATTAACCTATTTCAAATTTGATAAAAAAAAATTATAAGAGTTTTAAAAGTAGTAACTTTGTATTATTGATGAAACAGTAATTGGTTTATATATTTTACAAAAAAAATATTTCCAATAAATTAGAGAGTTAAACTTCCAATACAAATCCTATACTGAAAAGGAAATAATTATCTGTAAGCAAATTGATTTATAATTAATTGTAAGATAATTTTGTACTTCTGCTTGTTCTTGCTTTACATGTTTGTATTTGTTAGGCTCGTCAGTTTCTATTAGGTCAGGTTTCTATTTCTTAGGACTTTTGTTCAAAATCGGTATCATTTTCCTATTTCGTAATGATATAAGATTTCGTAACTCAAATGACCCATCTCATTTTTAATTGGACACTCAACCATCGGATTTCTATTGGTATATATATTTTAAGGTCGTGTTAATCGATTGGATATTTTTAGTAATATCATACACCCTACTCAACCGGGTCGCGTTGACTTGTCCACATTAATGACATATATATTACGAGCACTTCTACTATATTCTAAATCATTGGTGTTTTAATATACAATTTGAAGTTGCGTCATCATGTCGTTTGTCTCTTACATACATACAGGCATGGAAGAACTGGAGGAACGGAACTTACACCAACCTCATAGACCCGTCTCTGGGGAACAACGTTCCCGGCGGCGACGTCGCGAGATGCATCCACATTGGGCTGCTGTGCGTGCAGGAGAATGTCAACGACAGGCCGACCATGGCCGCCGTTGCTCTGATGCTAAGCAGCCACTCCGTCACCTTGCCGTTGCCTTCCAAGCCGGCCTTCTTCATCCACAACAGCACTACCACCGGAGGCGGTTCTTCTTCTTCTTCTTCGCGGGGTCACAGTAGTAGCAACAATTCAAGGGAGAGAACTACTGATGATCATAGTGGTTCTGATGAAGCTCTTCCTTTTTCGAGAAATGAGGTTTCTCTATCCGAGTTCTATCCTCGTTGAAACGCTCTGTTGCTGGTACCAATTATTTTGTGACCCGAATATTTACGTTGTTTTCCTGATAATCAGGACTAGTCCACGGGAGAGGTAGAACTCTCCAGAGTCAATATTATTCAGCTTAGCTTTTCTGTACAACAAAGATACAAATATATATATACATCGGTCTAAGGTACAAACCGAACCCTCCTGGTCTATTTAGGTAACTCTGTAGTTAAGAAAACATTGCAAAAAAGCTACCAAAATAAACTATGTTGTCACTTCAATAGTTCCTTTCTGGGTTTTACATGTAAAAAGTATGGACTCCCAGACCCACGATTTCAAGCTTGAACGTTTATACCAGGTCAGTTCATGTTTCTGGAGTTCAACTCGCTTTCGTTTCAAGATTCTAAGCGCATGACATAACTCGTTCAGCTTTCATACGTTTTCACCCGTTGTGTGTCTTTTATCGTCATGCGTCTCTTGTCGGGACACTCACCCTACACGTCTAGACTGTCAGACACCTCTTTGGGTTGGACTCTAACTTTACTTGAGCTATCACTTGGACCCTTACAAATTTCTTTGGGCTTCTCTATTTGGGCCTTTATTATTTATACCCCAACAGAAAACAATGAGGTTTTTTTTTATAAATGGATACAGTGCATAGAAAACAATGAGGTTCTATACAAAAATCGTATTTTTTATCAATGATTGATTGCTTGTATACAAAAGTCGTATTGCATATTATTGATGTCGATTTATGGGGTTTCGTCCAGAAATTCTATCCACCACACTAAGATTTTTTTATCATTTCATATACCCTATAAAGAAAATGTAATGATAAAACAAAAGATTTGAGTGATTTAGTGCCGACAAAAATTTAGGGAAACTTAACTTTGTAGACAAAAGGCCAATCACTATATTTATCAACTTTGTTTAATGGTCTGATCGCTTTAGTGCGAATATATGAAAAACTCATTATACTACTCATACAATTATAAGTTATATCAAATTTTAGCTAACATATTAGCAATGATATATAATATTATATCAAAATAACATATTGTATTTGGATTCAGCAAATAATGTAAAATTCGCACACACTTATATAACATCATTATTCAAATGTTCAACTTAGAATTCCAAAGATAGGATTAGGTGAGTTGGAAAACTGGATAAGAGACACCTTTCGCAAAACAAACGGTAATCTTGTAGTGAGTCGGATCCTATAAAGTATGGAACACGTCCTCTAAATTTGAGGACGATCCAACAGTTGGTGTTTTTGGAATCACCCTCTTGAACTCATTGCCTTTCTTTTGCAAAACGACAATTCTGCAGCTCCTCTTTTACTCTCATCCTTTCCTTCTTCTTTCCTTTTCAATTCCCCAACTCTAATTCCAACTAAATTTTCTGGTTCCTTCAAGGTTTGCTATTAGTTCATAATCTAATACTCGCCCAAATATTGGGATGATGTCACCTTGATGCGAGTATGAGTACATATCACATGTTCAAGAAGGACGAGGATGTTATACCACAGCTCCATCAAGTGATTTTTTTTATGTGCGACTTAAGAAATTAATATTTACTAATAATCTGATTTCTCACATTCAATGGATAAACAACCTCATAATAAAAGAAGTCTCAGTAACCATGTTTAATTTGACAATCAAATTAAAACAAAACGATGGATAATGAGGTGTAGTTGTTAATTAATTATACTGTTTTTTTGAACGAAGAAGCCTCATTGTCTCTTTATTGTATTGTCGATTTAGTCGTACGTTTGCTCCACTAATTTTATGGTTTGACTAACCAAATCGACAATCCTAGTTATATGGATGTAGCGCCCCATCCCTTAAGCCCAAAAACTGAAGTTGGGAAATGAGCCAAGTCAATGACTCAACCATGAATCCTCCTCTGCTAGCACTCCTCATCATCCTTCCACTACCATGTTGCCGCTGCATATTCGCGCAGCCGTCGGAATTCCGCCTCCTGTCCTGCTACGACGACGCCGGGAACTACACCGCCGGCAGCACTTACCGGCGCAACCTTGACACCCTCTTGTCCTCGCTCGGCGCCGACTACCAAACCACCACGGGCTTCTACAACCTCTCCGTGGGCCTAGGCCCGGACCAGGTCAACGCCCTGGGCCTCTGCCGGGCCGACATCACGCTCCAAGCCTGCCGCGACTGCATCTCCGAGGCGACGACTCGGCTCGTATTCGACTGCCCGGTCCAGAAGACGGCGTTCGGCCACTACGGCAACACCTGCCAGCTCCGGTACTCGAACCGGTCCATCTACGGTTCGCTCGAGCCGGACCCGCCCAGCCTCTACTTGGGGAACTTCAACAACGCGTCCGACCCGGTTCGGTTCGGCGACGCCTTGCGCGCCTTGTTGGTCCGCCTCCGGGGCTCCGCGGCGGGAGGAAGTTCGGTGAGGAAATTCGCGACGGGAACGGCGCGGCAGGGCTCGCTCACCATCTACGGCCTCGTGCAGTGCTCTCCGGATCTCTCGCGGCAGCTCTGCGATGAATGTATCGCCGCGGCCGCCGGCCAGATCGACGGGAGGAGAATCGGAGGACAGATCTGGCAACCTTGTTGTCGGGTGGGGTATGAGACTCATCCATTTTACTCCGACGCGGAATCGCCGCAGCCAGCTCCGGAAACTGGTAAGTTCGCTTGGTAATAAATTCAAAACTAGTGGTATTACTAATTTACTATCGGAACAAAACTTTCATTTATTATTGAGTGAAGTCTCTTTTGTCACGTTAGGTGACAAAACACCTAATCTTGGGTTATTCACGCCATATTTGCGTTATTCACGCAATATTTGTGTCATTCACGTCATATTTGCGTTATTCACGTAAGAGTGCTGATTATTCACGTAACCAATAATGTTAGGTCACGCCACCTTAGGTTTATTCACACATATTGTTAATTATTCACGCCGTTGTAAAATAAAATTTTAAACTTTGAAATATATCAAAATGGATGTCATTGTGTAGATTATGATCAATGCAACATATTTATACAGATTAAATGATAATCCAAATTTAATTCCATAAAATATATGTCAATACAAATTATTAGAGGAAAAAAGTATGAATTTCCATTTATGTGAAAAACTTACACCCTTACGTAAATCACCATATTATTACGTGAATAAGCACAAAATGGTGTAAATGAACTGGTCTTAAATGTTCTGTCACCTAACGTGACAAGAGATGTTTTCGTATATTAGGCCGAAGAAGTAAGAATACGACAAAGATCGCTGCTGTTGTGATTCCGATCGCCGGCGCCGCAGTGCTCGGCTTCATTTTCATCGTCTTCTTCTGCCGGAGATCATTGAAGAGGTCGAGAATCCCCATCCAGAGTCAACGAGACGCCAGTAAGCAATTGAACTCATTCCCATTATATACTATCTAGAAATTATTGCTTGCGTACGTACACCCGTCGTTCTCAAATTACGTGGTACTTCAACCTAAGCCAACACAAAACTGACACGCTCACATATCTTTATTCCGCTGCGCTAAGTGTTTCAACTATTTTATGCTTCCTTCATCTTTAAGTTCGTTGAGAAAGAAATACAATCAATAAATAGAGTCGGAGAGAGAGAGAAAGAAAAACTAATCAATCATTTCCTAGAGAGTGATGGGTTTACTAGATGCTCATATTAATGAATTCTAGCAGCAGCCGATGAGATCGGCAACGAGGGATGCTTGCAATTCGATTTCGAAACGATCAGAGCCGCCACGAACAGTTTCTCCCAGGAAAGCAAGCTCGGAGAAGGTGGATTCGGCGTCGTCTACAAGGTTCGACTTGACGTAATTCCAATAATGTTCGCCTCTCCTGAAATTCACGTAGCTAGTTTGAAATTTCGCTGATTTGTTTTTTGCAGGGAACGTTGTCAAATGGACAAGAAGTAGCCGTGAAAAGGCTGAAAAAGGATTCAGCACAAGGACAAAGAGAATTTAAAAATGAAGTCAAATTGGTGGCCAAACTTGAGCATCGAAATCTAGTTCAACTCTTAGGCTTTTGCTTAAAAGGAAGAGAGATGCTTCTCATCTACGAGTTCATCCCTAATGCCAGCCTCGACCATTTCCTCTTTGGTATATTTATGATAGGATAAAATAGTTCTCATTCATTTTGTTTTGAATTTGATATGGGACTATATTTTTCTTATGTCGATACTTTATTCATGCAGATATGGATAAAAAGAAGGATTTGAGCTGGGAGAGACGATACAAAATTATTATAGGTGTCACGCGAGGGATGACTTATCTTCATGAGGAATCTCGATTGAAGATCATCCATCGTGATCTAAAAGCCAGCAACATTTTGTTAGATGCCGAGATGGTTCCCAAGATTTCAGATTTTGGGATGGCTAGATTGTTTGATACTGATGAGACTCGGGCAATTACTAACAGAATTGTTGGGACTTAGTGAGTATGACATAAGAGAGTACTTACAAAAAGAACTTATAAGCCCCCTGATCGGTGTGAGTGATGAAATTTGTGGTGTGGGGTTTCTACTTTGTGCAGCGGATATATGGCTCCAGAATATGCAATGCACGGGCAGTTTTCAGTGAAGTCTGATGTGTTCAGTTTTGGGGTGCTCGTTTTAGAGATTGTGAGCAGCAAGAAGAATAAACATATCCATGGCAACTCGAGCATGAAAGACCTATTAAGCTATGTGAGTGTCCATATCAAAATGTTACATTGTTTTGTTGCTCATAGCCTCATAGTCATTGGATTAAGAGATGCCTAACTAGTTAGTTATTTTTGGGATTTGCCACAAACGATGGTAACTAAACTAAAAATGTTAACAAAATTATCTAGAGTAAGATCCACCTACCCGACATCAACTTGTTTCAAGTTTGAGGACAAGTTTGAAGAAGTTTTAAGAATATTGATGACTTGTATTATTTTATGGTACAACTTGAGATTTTACATATATTTTTTTGTGCCAATTCCTTTATTTTACAATTTGAAGTTATACTTTATGTGATAGTACAACTTAAAGTTGTGTCATAGCATACATAAAATTATAAGCACAAATTTCCTTATAGTACAACCTCCACTTCTACCTTTAATGTTATAGTACGACTTTCAATTTGTACTTCCAATTATCAATGCTATAGCTTCTTCACTAGTATTTCACTAGAAAGTATGTCAGTGACCATTACCATGTTGTCTTTTACACATAGGCATGGATGAACTGGAGGAACGGAACTTACACCAACCTCGTAGATCCGTCTCTCGGGAACAACTTTTCCGGCGCCGAGGTGGCGAGATGCATCCACATTGGGCTGCTGTGCGTGCAGGAGAACGTCAACGACAGGCCGACCATGGCCGCCGTCGCTCTGATGCTGACGAGGCAGTCCATCGCTTTGCCGTTGCCTTCCAAGCCGGCCTTCTTCGTCCACACCGGCACCGGAGATCAGGGTTCTTCTTCTTCGCGAGATTGTTACCGCAGAAGCACTTCGAGGGGTGGATCTTCTCCTCCTGCTGAAGCTCTTCCACTTTCGAGAAATGAGGTTTCTATGTCCGAGCTCTATCCTCGTTGAAACGCCATATATAGCTGCTACCAATCCAATACTAATACTGATCAATATTCAAAATTTTGTCTTAAAATACTTATAATGATAATAATAATCAACTATTGGATTGGGTTGGTATCATAGATTTTCCCAAAGCGTAAGTCACAAGTGTGATTGAGAAAGTTGTCAACCTTGACACGTCAGTTGACCTATTTTGACCCTGATCTTGTGAGAAAAACGAGTTACACTCACATATGGGTCGACCCATTGCATGATTACTGGATTGGGCATTGTTTTCCCTTAGCTTTGCGAAACACAAAAAAAAGAACAAAAATGGAATAGAATGAGTGGCTGGCGGGTCCCATTATATAGCCTATCTTTTGCCTCTCACCCAAAAAGTGTCATTTTAACCCCTAAACCCCCTAGACCATCCACTATGGTTGGGTGGAAAATTTGGGTGGGTTGAGGGGGAAATTTGTGTTTTTTTTTTTGGGTTTGAGAGTGGGAAACCACACAATGAGATGGGAGGGAAAAGAGGAAAAAGTGAGAGAGGTGTTTTTTTATCAATCTGATTTTCTGTTGATTTTGCCACTTTAGTTAAATAATTTGATTGTTCTTTTTATATAGGTAGTAATAATTAATTAAGATGAACATTGTGGTATAATTTTTTTAAATTTGAACATAATTTTTTCATCATTAATTAAATACGGTCGTTTAAGGCTGTTGAAAAATATAGACACTGTAGAATATGTCTGTTGAAATTCAATTATGATCGTTAGATCGCATTGAAAACGATCTACGGTTTTAAAAAAAACTCAAACTAAAACGAAAAAGAAAAACTAAAAGTAAAAAGTAACTCTAGCAGGCGAGCCCCGCCAGTCCACTCCCCCTCCTCCTTCCCCCTCCTTTTTGTCCTGTTGTGAGGGAAAACCTTCCCAAACCCACCCAAAAAATCCTTCTTTTCTCCTTTCTCAACCCTCATTGTGAGCCCCCATTTGCAAAAGACCATTCTTTTGCTTCTTTCCACCTCCCATAGTGCGTGGTCTTACCATTTTACCCCATTTTTGCCACATGGTGCCCTAAGGTTGTGGACATGGGTTCAAATGATTGTATATTATAGTGAAACCGGTTGTTTGACCACTTCATTGAGGTGATTATAGAAAATATAACGGATAAATATAATTAATGTATGAGTAATTAGAAAATGACCAAACATTTGCATCCTATTTCCTTTGGTGTCCTCGTAATCACATGAGAGACCATTCACCACTTCACATCTTATTTTGAAAGAACATAGCTTTTATTGTTCTTCCAACTAAACCCAAATTGGAACCAAAATAAATTAGCCATCAACACACCTCCCATCATTTTAATCAATTAGCCACATGATCAAATACCCAACAAAAGAAAGAAAACTAAACATAGAAAGTGTAGTTAATGGAAATCAATTAAATAAAAATCATAAGCTAATTCAAACAAATTCACAAAAATATGGACACAAATTAAACACACTTTCCCCTTTCCCTCCCATCCCTTTCAAACAAATTGACATCGGCGGCTAAAAAATCCAAAATCCCTCCATTAACCAGACAAAAAAAAATGCTTAATTTCAGTAGATGAAGAAGCTACTCGCATGGCGGCCTAGTGGTTGTCACAATGGAGGGCTCATCATCTCTACTGTCACTATTACTACCACTACTGCTACTTCTTCCACTCCCCTCAAATACCCAGTTCCTAGATCTCCTCCACCCACTCTGCTCCCAAACCGCCGGAACCTACACCGCCGGCAGCACATTCCGGCGGAATCTCGACTCCGCCCTCTCCTCAATCGTCTTCGACACCGAAATCGACAACGGGTTCTACAAGGTCTCCGCCGGGTTCGGCCCAGATCGGGTCGAGGCAATCGGGCTCTGCCTCGGAGACCTCGACCCGCCGAATTGCCGATCCTGCATCAGCCGATCCGCGAGCAGGATCGTGCAATCCTGCCCGAATCAGAAGGAAGCAATCTTGTACTACGATTTCTGTATGCTGCGCTACTCCAGTCCATCACTTCGCAGCAACTCCGACCTCACAGAATCCGCTCCGATTCCGCCGCCGGCCGGAGCGGGATTCGCAGGATCCTCTGTGAACCCGAAATTGGCGGATCTTTTGACCCGGATCCGGAAGGAAGCTGCTGGAGGAGGCTCGCTGATGAAGTACGCTACTGGAGTTGCCGAGTTGGGAAGGTCCAAAACGGCATACGGACTCGCTCAGTGTATACCCGAGTTGTCGGGCCCGGACTGCGATTCCTGCCTGGACCACCTGACGTGGATGGCTCCTGGCGCGGGGGAAATCGGGCGCGTGGCTGTGAGCCTGAGCTGCTGGCTGTGGTACGGGATGCTCGAGCTCGACGGACCCGAAGGGTCTTGTTCCGATTCAAAACTCGGTACCGAAATCGCTAGCTACGGTGACGAACTTGACGGTTTACTAGACTCGTTAGTAGAGAAAGCGTCACAGGCAAATTTTTTCTCAACGGGAACATCCCCTGGCGGCAATGTACACGCGCTCTACCTCTGCCTCGGAGACGTCGTCTCCGGCGAGGAGTGCAAGAGCTGCGTGGCTGATGCGGCGCACGATATGCGATTAAGGTGTCCTTCAAATCGATCTGCTGTCATCTTGCGGGAGAAGTGCTTGGTGAGATACTCCGATCAGCTGTTCTTCGGGGTTTTGGAGATGGAACCGAGGGTAACTCGAGGTGATGATGAAGAGAATAGTAGCAGCAGTACTACTGCTCCAACCCCGACTACTTCATCAAGTGGATCGAACAACAATAACTGCAAGGCAGTCATGGCATTGGTGCATGAATTGGCGGGTTATGTCCCCTACACGGCTATGATGTACGGGACAAACTCGTCGCTGACAGATAACCAGTCAAACTATGCGATGGCACAATGTACGAGGGATCTCAATTCCACGTATTGTGAAGTGTGTTTGAATCAACTGATTATGATCGCCTCGGGATGCTGCCTGAAGTACAGCAGCGGGTGGCGGGTTCAGACGCCGAGCTGTAGCTTGTGGTACAAGCAAACTTTGTTCTATAATCCTGTGGCGCCTGATACTGACTATAGTCGTAGCCATGATACTAGTGGTAAGTTTATAGGCCAAAAAGCTCAACTTCGTCTACCAATTGATTGATTGACTGTTTCGATTTTCGGGTTAGTTTGGTTAATCTTTTCCATAGTTAGTTCCTTGAAGGTGTCGATGGCTGTCGTAGGAGGAGCCGCATTTGCTGCTGTTGTCTTAGCCGTGACATGTTTTCGGTGTTATGTACGGTTTTCGTGTAAACGAAGACTCACAGGTAAAACAAAAAGATCGTTCTCGGAATGATTTCTATAGTCTAGTTACAAAGATTATAATTTCGATATGATCCAAATCCAACCATGACTTTCTGTAATGAAGGAATCCTGAACAGGGAAGGAATCCAAGTAACAGAACATGAAAGCAACACCACAGAGATGCAATTCTACACTCTAGCTGCTGTTCAAGCTGCCACCGATAACTTCTCCGACGGGAATAAGCTTGGTGAAGGAGGTTTCGGACCGGTTTACAGGGTAAGTAATTGAAAACACCCCAAGTTCAGAAAAAAAAGGGGTTGATCTCCAATTTGGACTTGGATTATGTCAAGTGTGAGGAAATGAAGTTGTTTGAGCTCTCTGATTCAGGGGAGGTTGCCGAGTGGAGAAGAAATCGCGGTTAAGAGACTGTCGATGACATCGAAACAAGGGCTAGAAGAGTTCAGGAACGAAGTGATGGTGATTCTGAAGCTTCAGCACAAGAACCTTGTCAGGTTGTTGGGTTGCTGTTTGGAGAGAGGGGAGAAGCTGCTGGTCTATGAGTATCTTGCCAATACCAGCCTTGATGTTTTCCTGTTTGGTTTGCCCTTTCTTCCCAATTTCTGAACCATACTAATCCCCTTTTTTTCTTAATCTCTCTTCTATTTCACAATCAATTGAAACTTGTTTCATGGTAACAGATGCTAGCAAGTGCAAGGAACTTGACTGGGAGAAGAGAGCAAACATCATAACCGGGACCGCCAGGGGACTTCTGTATCTACACGAAGACTCGAGGCTGAAGATCGTCCACCGCGATCTGAAAGCGAGCAATGTCCTGCTGGATGATGAGATGAACCCCAAGATCTCGGATTTCGGAACTGCAAGGATTTTCGGAGGGGACCAGCACGAGGCCAGCACGGACAGAGTCGTCGGAACATAGTAAGTGATCAAGTTGTAGTGTCTTTTTACTCTTCTTAAAGTTTACAATCTGCAATTCTTGATAAACCGTATCATTTGCATCCAAAATATAGTGGATACATGGCGCCGGAATACGCACTGGGAGGAGTGATTTCGACGAAATCGGACGTTTACAGCTTCGGAATCCTGATGCTGGAAATCATAAGCGGCAAAAAGAACAGGGGACCCTTCAATCAAGAACAAGCCACTAGCCTTCTGTCACTAGTAAGTAATTTTACATGAAACTACTAATTAATTATGTCATCAACCGGTAAGATTTGACGAATTTGCGTTGTTGAGCAGGCGTGGGAGAAGTGGAGCGAAGGCAGAGGAGACAAGCTGATAGACCAAACCATCGTCGACGGCTGCTCCACCAGCGACGCGTTGAGGTGGATCCATGTCGGGTTGCTTTGCACCCAAGATGACCCGGCGGAACGACCCGACGTGTCGAAGGTCGTCCTGATGCTTGGGAGCACGGCGGTGTACCTACCCCAGCCGCTGAAACCACCGTTCTCTCTCGGGAACTTCTCGTCGGCCGGCGGCGGCGGCGACGACGGTGACGATGATCAGTCTTCCTCTTCGAGGGAAGGGACTGTGTATTCTTCTCCCGTGTCGACGTATCAATCTGTAGTTAACTGTAGTCATTCTGCGTAGATAATGTTACAACTAATTTATTCTTTTTGTTATAGTTTAGTATGTTTCGGTTAGTTCATAGCTGATGATGACTAATGCACATTCCTATGATGTGGAATATGATACTAATTTGGTAATGGTTTTGTTACGGTGATTTTGCGGTCGGAAGAACGAAGAAATATGATTTATGGGTGTAGATTTGAAACCCTATGTATGTTCATACCACAGCTATTATAGAACCCCTAAATTGTAAATTCCATTAGAAAAGCGTACGTACAGGGCTCATATATAGCGTCAAATATCTACAAAACCCGATACCACTCTGTTAGCCCGAGCTAAAACTCCAAATCCTCGTTTCTATATAAGTAGAGGTGATAAATTGATTGGATTCAGCAGCGGTTGGTGTATTCGTGGATTTGGATCAAATGGATTGGTGAATTCATTGATTGATAGATTGGATTCATGAATCCAAGCGACGTATAAACATTGGACCAATATGTAACTTGTAAAAATTTTAGGTACTAAAATGTAAAAATAAATAATCTTGGATACTAAAACGTTGTGTTTCAATGGTATTGGTAATTTCAAACTTAGGTATCAAAATGTAAAATATAAAATATATAAAACTTAGATAATTTCAAACTTAGGTTTCAATGGTATTGGTAATTCTATTACTAAATCTTTCTACCAAGTGAAATGAAACCATGCTGATCTTGGCTACATTGAGAGCGACATCCTCGATAGTTTAGATGATAAATGTATTTTACATACTTTTCAGAATATAAAAACACGTCGTGGGTCCTTGTAAAACATTAATATAAGTTATGTTGTTATTATTTTTAGTCGTTGGACCCACCTTAGGAAAATTCCTGACTACGCTACTACGCGGATTCGAATATTGGGCACATCGCTCCAAATCCCACTATCAACTATCAATACTTTTCACCGCATGGATCCTGCTGAGAAGCAAGACCTGAGAACATGAACATCATCATTCATCAGCCAACCAACAACAATGAGAACATGCAAGTTTCAGCCAGAATAAGCAGAGCCGCCACTAACAGGATCATCTTCCTGATAAGGGCGCTGCTCGCAGGGATCCTCAGAGGAGTTTTTGGCATTGGAGGTGGCATGTTGATCAACCCGCTCCTTCTTCAAGTTGGAATCGTAGCCGAGGTTCATGCTTCCCTTTTCAATATGATTTTGACAGTTTGATTCCGTTCGATGCAACCCAGACATCAATCAGCCTGGTATGAACAAAATGGTTGTCGAACCTAACCGAAATCGATCTTGTTCTATAAGTAACAGCTGCAACCTGCTCCTTCATGGTGTTCTTCTCCTCCAGCATGTCTGCTATTCAGAACCTACTGCTGAGGATGGAGCACATCAACACAGCCATCATTCTTTCGGCTACATGCTTCATCATGTCGCTCTCTGATTGCTGGTGGTGCACAAGACCATGCAAGAGTATGGTGGAAAAGCTTCACTTATAGTGTTCTCAGTTGCCATTGTCATGGCAATAGAGTACAGTTTTGATGACCATTTATGGAGCTCTCCAAGTCTGGACTCTGGAGAGATTACAGGGACGGGAGCTACATGTGATTCAAACCTCCCTGTTGAAAAGAAACAAAATTTTGTGCACAAACTGGATTCTGATTTCATATTTAAGCCCTTGGCATAAGGTAAGTCAAAAACTTGGTCATGAACGCCCATCGACAAGAGGCCTCACCTAGTAACCTTACAAAGCATATATGAATCTCTCAAGAATCTCATCAATGCTTCCACGACAATCTTGTAGCAATGATGAGCCAAAATTTGTGACAGAGAGAGTACGAAACACAGATTAACAAGTCAGTTCCGCATCGATGTAGTTTTAACTCTTGCGATTTAAAACGACTCTGATAATAACTAAAACCATACCAATAAAGAATGACTATAAACAAACATCAACCGAGGGTGTTGCCATTGGTGTCCCGCTCCCAGTGAAGTCAGTAATAGAGCCTTGCCTGAAAGCTTTAGCTTAAGCAACTGGAGGACGAATGGAATGATCCTGCGACGTATCAACAGCTGCAGGAGGCATGAACTGCCACATAGACATTTGAGGATACCCAACAAATGGCATCAATTTGCCTCCCATTGAACCAGGCGGGGGAGCAGCAAATGCAGCTGCAGCCATTGGATGAGGATGAGGCAGATATCCCGTTGGAGGAATACTAATGGCCTTCACTTGCCTTTCGAGCTGCTCCTTCTCTGTCTTCAGCCTCTGTTTCTCATCTCTCAGCTCACTCTTCTCTGCCTACAAACATATCCAAAATCATCAAACATCTACAACTCAATTCGGTCAGTGGTTCCAAATTTTCCAATCGCTACCTTCAATTCGATGATCTTCTCTTGCAGGCTCTCATTCGACTCCTTGAGCTTCACAGCTTCGTCTCTCAGCTGAGTCACCATTCGAGCAGCATCCACTAAGATGGCTGATTTGTCCACCTTCGGTGGCCTTCCTGGCTCGAGAATCGCACTCAGCTCCATGAACCTGGAGACCAACCGAACCTGGATTCAGAACGAGCTAATGGGGCCATTTTGCATTAACGAAATGAAATGGCATGGAAACTTTACCTGTCATTCAGCCTGTCTCTCCTCATTTTTTCTCTACATGCTTTCGACCTAGGAGGAGGTGGAGCACTGCTAGATTCATCTCTCGCCCTGGGGACATTTCACGAAGACATGAAAACAAATCTAGGGTTTCCGAGAAAGAACAAATTCATGATTTCAGCTAAAATTGATTACCTTTTCCTAGACCCAGTTTCCTTGACACATTCCGAGTTCTCCAACGGGACATTGAACGGAACATTGTATCTAAGTACAAAAAAGAAAGCAGCAACAAAAAGAAAATCAAACTGGAATCAATAAAAATCATTCCTTTCCTTGGATTCGTCATCTTAAGAAGCTACCAATCAACGAAAACCCCAAATGCAGAGCTCAAATGCTAATCCTTAGGAAATTGGAATACTAAGCAAAGTGGGGGAGACTCAAAACAAAATCCCCCAATCAATTTACAAATCAGAAACAGGAACAGAAGACCCCCAACAAATCAAAACAAGATTCCGCCATGAACAACTCCGATATTGAGGGGGCGAATTGGAAACGGGGAGAGACGGACCTCATGGGAGCGGAATCAGGGAAAGAAGGATGGGCCGACCAAATAGGAACCGGAGGGTCGAGGGAAGGAAGCTCGCCGCCGAGAGGGACGGGGAGGTCATTAATCAAGTCGTTATCGAAGACCCATGTGGAGTTATCGAAGTGGGACACCATCTCGGCCGTCGGTTCGCCGGAAAATCACGGCTTTCCCGGCGGGGTTCGTCGGTTGATCAGGAGGCGCCGTGGCGGCGAGGAAGAAGGGGAGGAGATAATACGCGTCAGGAGGGAATCTGTTTGTTTTGTGGATCGTGTAGAATTTCTATTTGGTTGGTCGGAAGAATACGCAAAAGCGGTAGAATTTGGGGTTGCTTGGTCTTCCTATCGCCACACGAAAGCCAGAGAATAACAATATTTTCTTTAACGCTACTCGGAAAAAGAAAAAGGCGCTAAAAAAAAAAAGAGGTTAAGAAAAGCAAAAAAAGAAATAGATGGGCTTGTAATTGAATTGGGCTCGTCGGCCCTTTTCACACTGTATTGGGCTATTTATTATCAGAGCTCAAGTTCTTGTGGAATACCACACTTTGTCTACCACCGGCCCACATATAACTTGATTTGATTAGAACTTAAGAAATAAATAATTTTATTTGTACTAGTTCTCAAAAAATAATTATATCCAAATTAAAATCCGTTCCAATTAAATGCACAATTGATCTGATTCAGTCATTTATGATATTTTATCGTCTATATTATCGATGATCTAGTGTTATACGAATACGATACTGTTTACACCTAAAAATTATTTAGGAACCAAATGAAATAATAATCACAAATTGCTTATAATACACATCCATCATTATGTTTGCACAAAAGTGTTTGGGCAATTAATGGACATGCCAAGGCAAAGAGAATCTAGCCTAGGAAAACCATGGGCGGGGATCCACAGAACTTGTTTGTTTAGGCCCACAACCACAAGTAAGACATTTCTCAAGTTGCCAAGTTGGATTTGTTTATTTGTTTATTTATTTATTACTCTATATTTGGAAGAATTTCCTTCTGAACCAACGATAAGATAAGTACGAATATGCTTTATCCATAATAATAAAAAATAGAGCAAACAAATCACACCAAAAGATCTTTAGTGTGTGGGCCTCACTTCAGCTTGATCCATAAAATGATTGAATACTGAAATTGAATAGTAAATATTTTGTTGTAGGTAGGATTTGTGGTGGAGAGGATTTCAAGGGAATTTTACATGGTTTTTTTTAATTTGATAATTAGGGATTTTTACATGGTAAATGTGCCTAAAGTTTGAAATTGGCTTACAACTATATGAAATTGAATAGTACATAACAAAAAAATGATAAATTGCATTACCAATTTACCCATTTTAACTACATTACCAATTTACAATCATTAATTGCTGCAACTAACCTAATACGGTAGTACAAGACACTAGTACATTCTATACTGTGAATCATCTTAAGTTGTCGGCAACATTGCTGAAGAAGAAAATAAAAACCATTTACGAGCCGATTTGATTACGCGAAAGAACATTTTAATTGACTCTCGATTTCAAACTCTGAACCTCTTAACGGAGATAATAAATCACTATCAACCTAAGAAAGAAACCAATATAGATACTATAACCTTATTAATAAAGTTAAAAATCGTTTAAACCAATTATGATACCATCCCTTTGAACCAATAGATCGTTGAATTAATTAGAAGCTATAAGAAAATCCATGAATCATCTCCATCAACGAAAGCTATAAAAAAAACCCCAATAACTCTTTCATAATTTACATTGGTTATGGTAGTGAAGTGAAGAAACATTACTACAAGCCACAAATATATAATCTACAAGTTCAAAAGTATATAGCAAAGAAATCCTTTTTTTCCCGAAACAAACCCACAGATTCCAACACAAAGTTTGGGGCTTGAACTTCAAAATGGACTAGAACAAGACCGGATGAAACCATCAACCCTTTTCCTTATCTCATCCGGATTGGCTCCAACAATCTTGTCAGCTGGATTCCCATCCTTGATCAACACAAAAGTAGGCATGGCCTTCACCTCCAATTTAGCAGCCACCTCCTACAAGTCAATTCAAAGATCAATCACGTACAAATCTCTTAGGTATATATCCAACCCAAACTGAAGCTCAGAAGTCAGAACCATCGAAAATAAAAATAAAATAAAAACGTGATCAATTGTTGAAACTAGGGCTGGCAATTTGGTCCAGAACTGTTTGGTTTTACCCGAAACCGGACCGGGACCGGACTGGGATTGGATAGCAAACAATCCAATCTCATATTCGGGCTTAAATTTGAGGTAAAAAAAACCCGGATAAAGACCGGATAAGAGACCCCAACACTCAAATCCCCACAAGCTCAATATAAAATCAAAATCAAATTGAGACCGGACCGAGTCAAGACCGGAGTGTATCCAATCCAATCTTTGGTCCTTATATTCCCAAAAAGATCGAACTGTAACCGAATCAATTGGATCCAATTTAACCGGACCGAACCGTATAGCCACCCCCTAGTTGAAACATAATACCATCCAGCAAAACTTGTCTATTCAAATTTGCATTTCAGAGTTACAAAGATAAGATAGGAAACACCTATTTAAAGAACCATTTTTTAAAAGAAATATATAAAAACAACTTGTCAATAGATCATATCATTAAAAGTAATCCGAAAAGATTAACACGAAATATCTCGACCACTTAATTCCAAATCCCTATTTTAGCTTTTTCAGTCCAGAGGGAGAAGTCTCCCCACCTCATTTCACGTGAATCATAATTCCAAGTATCACATCGGCATCAAAGAAACCCCATGGTATGCATTATGCAACAAGCTGTTCCCTAGAAGGTTGCTTTCAATGGTTTGATTGGAAAATGGCTTACTTGCCCTCTTAATCTAAACTACTGCCATGGAGACAAGCCTATCTAACCAAATCTGAGATCGTTGAATTAGTGCTGTTGGTAAGTTATTTTATACAAATTCCAAATCCTCCTTTCAGTATCTAAACATACTAAACCATGGAACCTTCAACAAAATAGCTTGGTAGAGGAGTTGAGAGTTTTCCCTTGATCTTATGAGGTAAAACTTCTTCAATGGTCAAACAATCGAACCCTCTAGAACTAAAATGGAGACAAATATGGAAGAAGAAGAAGAAGAAGATGAAGAAGAAGAAGAAGAAGAAGAAGAAAACAGAGGGTCTTGAAAAGGATGAACCTTTTTTCCCCCCTATTACCTTAACTTCATCGACATCCACAACAAGAAAAATGGCATCTGGGTAAGTCAAAACCAGCTCCTCGAAGAAAGGGCTCATCACCACCGACGGCATGCACCACGAAGCTGTAAAATGCACAATCACCTGCCCTTCCCCAGGGAACAAATTCAGCTCAGAGCTACAGAGACTAACGGCTGAAAACATTTCCCAATAATTCGAGTTATTATTGACGAATTCGGAAACAAAACGAAACTTACAGGGTGAGCCTGGTTGAGGTAAGAATCCCATGTCTGTAAAGAGTCGACCTTTAGCACCTTGGACTTGATTTGCTGCTCGTGGCTCTCCATCTCTATCTTTCCCCTGTTTCTTGGTCTGGCTTTCTTTGGCTGCTCTGCTCTGCTCAGACAAAAGGAAGATAGAGAAGGCGGAGAGAGGCAGGCAGGTGGAGTATATATATACTACTATATCCAATACAGCCTACTTGGAAAATAAAAACAAGGAGAGATGAGATGTCTGAGGAAATGAAAGTGGAAAAGGAATGACAAAAAAACCGTTCTTTCTAGAACATGACGAGAAAGGAAGCAGAACAGAGTGAAAACGTGACCCAGAATGGCAGAATCCCAGATTACGAAACGCTATCCGTTTGGCCTATCCAATAAAACGGCGGCGTACTGAGGCGCTTTGAAGAGAACAGTTTACACACTAGAAGAGAGTGTTGTTTTCCATTTTTTGACAAAGGGGATTTTATTGCACTTCAAATTGATCAGTTACAAAGAGGAGAACAAACCAACAAACAATGTGGTTCCAACAAGAGGAAGTCCAAAGGCATCCGGTTACAAACAAAGCTGTGCAAGAAAAAATGCAGCAACAAAGAACACAACACAGTCTGCAAGCAACCACGCGGATAGAGCAAAACCCTTGACCGAAAACAGATCATCAAGAAACTCTCTTGCAAACAACCAATCAAAGTGCAACAAAACCACAATCAGCTTGTCCGATCATATCGAAATCCATGGTAGTTGAACATCATCACCCCATGTGCCGCCTCCTGGGGAAAACTCAAGGGCATTCATCACAGTGAATCTAGAAACTAGACTGCATGACAGTGGGAGAGGATATAACCAGATTGCTCCAAGCTGAAGAGGCAGAGAGATCAGGTTCGAAGAAGAGCAAAAGCTCCCAAGGTAGCCACAAACCTCCACAAAAACACTGAATCCCAACCGCAACCACCGGAGAAGCCCAACCCATCACCATCCGACAGCTCACCAAGCCACTCAGACACCTAACAAGGTCGGAGAGGGAAAGAAGGGAATGGCTTCACCTTGAAACTTTCATTCCAGCTCACAAACTGGAGAGTGTTGTTTTCCTTGGTGCCTGCTTACCACTTGGCGAAGTTAACGTTCATTCCAACTCACAAACTGGATTCAGTAATCAGTTCAATAGTAGGTATCAGCAACAAGTTCAACCAAGTGGTGAACTTTTTTGCCAAAATAGAATCACAAACCCAAGTAATACAGCGCAAGCCATTCTGTTCTCTCTACATCCGTCTTGTCAGAAACAAAACAAACAAACAAAAAAACATCCCACAAATCAGGTTAAAGGAAATCTACAGACAAACACACGCCACACACCCAAAGCTTATTTTGCTCCAACGAAAGATCATAATGATCGAACAAATATGACCGGGTGAGGGGAAAAAGAAAGAAACAAAAGGCTTAACTAGCTAGCAGCTAGCTTGATTGTGTGCGTTTTTTACTTTTTAGCCATAGCTCAAACGGGCATCGGCAGCAGCAATGGCGGGTCTCAAGTTCGTCTGGCGCCTGGGAACCCCGATTTCGCAGGCGTTGACTCTGGCCGCGAACTTCAGAGAGCATAATGATTCTCCGACGGAGGAAGGGTCGGGGGACACGTTGACGAACATCAGCGTTTTCGAGTCCCCGCCTAAACAAGGCTGTGGTTTTGAAGAGAAAAAGAAAAACTAATGTTTAATGATCCAATTTCATTAGTCCCAAAATCAGGAGATTAGTAATTTTTAAGTACCTGAAGAAGATACGTCAGCTTGGAGTTCCTGAAGGGAACGTGGTCTTCTTTCTTGGCCAGGGCGAAGATTACATCAGCTAAGCATGACAGACTCTTGTTTATGGCCTGTAGATAGAGAGAAAGAGAGCTCTAATATGAGAATTATATGAAGGTCGTCAATGGAGAGAATAATGGATGATGGTTGAAAAGGAAATGATTACCTGAGTCTCCTTCAACCTATCGCCAGTTGCTCCGCTTCTGGAAAGGCGTTCGCTCCCGGCGAGATCGATGAGGTTGAGAACGCCTTGCACCTGTTGCTCAGTTCCCTGGTAATGAGCAGAAAACAATGTAAGATCAAAGAGACTGAGATAAGAACCACAAAATGAAGGCTGATGAAACACTCCGGTATGACATCGAAGTTCTGAAATTTACCTCGTTCACCCCGTAAATTCGCAGAGTGAAAACAAAGTGGCTTCTTGAAGACTGCTCATTCATTTGGGTTCTCCCAACAGATCTAGTGCCGCAGTTAAGACAAAAGAGAGTCATATATGACATTAAGATGGGAAAAGCAACAGATTAGGTGAAGTTTTGAGCATTGAGTTGTTTATACCTGCTTTGAGCTGCCTGTCGAAGGAGAGAGGAAATCTCTGATATGCTGCTCACATCAACGACAGTAAGGTCTGTCACCTGTGTATTTCCATTAGCGTCATGTTTTATGTTGTATTGCTTTCCAGGTGCACTGCTGATATCGCCGCTGGAGGAACGGTTTGGTGATAGCAAGTCCCTAATTGTTTCATTGTATATCTCCAACATTGAGGCCTGGCAGAAGAAACTTGTTAGTAGATGTGACAATATGTCAAAAACAAGCAGTGAAGTAAGATTCAACGTGCCTACCTGCATTTTGTACTTCCAGCCCTGGGCCATAAGTACTTGACTAGCTTGAAATATCTGCTCGAGGGAGCGCGGGATCAGGCCCTTCAACTCGGGTGCTTCAGGCCTCCCCATCATGGTGTAGGTTTTCCCAGAACCCGTCTGTCCATAGGCGAATATGCAGACCTTCGCAGATCAACAGGTAGATGCAATTAGTGAAGAACTAGGAGAAAATTTACAGTGAAGTTGACGGCTTGATCAAGTAAACTAACCTTATAGCCATCAAGGGCACTTTGAACCAATTGGGAAATTTCCACAAATACATCTTGTTGTGAAGCATCATGGCTGAACACCTTATCGAATGTGAAAGGGTACTTCTGACCTGTTAAAACAATAGCATGGATGAAGAAAGATGAATGATAACACACAGCAAATGCGGGAGGACAAGAGGTCAACTGTACCATTTTGCATGACGTCAATCCCACGACCAAGGGATTCTACAGAACTAGGATAAGTAACAACTTGTGTATCAGTCCGAGCATCATCTGGCAACGAAGGACGAACTCTACAGAAAACTCGGATGTTGCCCTTAAGTTCCTGTATTCAAGTGATTCAGAGACTTAAGTAGATGGAAATACTAATTTGCATATTTTATAAGGCGTCTAGCAATAGAGACATTACCAAAATAGTGTTATGCAACTTCTTCCTCAACTTCTCTCCTTCAAGGAGTTGATGTTCTGCATCGGCAAGTCGCTCTTGCAATTCACTAACTATTTTTCTTTGTTCCACAAACCCTGTCTGTGCTTCAGCAGCAGTCATGTCCAACGTCTAAAGGAAACAAATAAGCACCCTTGTGAATCAAATGAGGAATAATAGACAGCAACTAAACGATTAAAATGCGCTAGGTTTTGTACAACCACAGTGTATAGTACCTTTGACTTCTCATTTGCTGCAATCAATTTCTGCTCCAACAAACTTATCTGCTGGCTTTGAGAAGAACAAGTTTCCTATAAAACACAAGGAAAGCTGGCAGATGAGTTTTTGCCTATCAAACAAACAATATGCACCATAGAGGATATATTACAGTTTAAACCAACCTCTAATGACTTTGTTCTTGAAATAAGGACATCCAGTTCAGCCTGGGATTTGCCTGTGTTTTCTTTATATTTCAATAGTTCAGCGTTCAAGGCCTGAACTTGAACCAACTGTCGATCACGATCATCTCTCACTTGTTGAAGATCCCCACGAAGGCATTTTACTTCATTGGCCAATGAATGTTTCATATTGACTGCCTCATCTTGAGAAGCCTGGAATTTATTGAATATCCATTCACATCAACCAGATTCACGTGTCGAAACCTTTAAATGAGCAGATGAGAAAGTAGCATAAGGGTGTACATATAACTTACTCTTGAAATAGCTAGCTGTTCCTGCAATGACTGTTTATGGCCCCTTACGGTACTTAGGTTCTCGACTACTGCGGCCTTCTCTTGCTCCACTCGTTTCAAATTGTCCCGTGTTGCGTCAAGGTCACTCTGCAATTTGGTATTGTAATGTTGTAGGCTCTCATTGTACGCCTTCAAGCTGTTATGTCTGTCCGCATCCAAGGAAGCCTGCAATTGTTTTAACAGAACTTGAAATTTGGGACAAACAACTACACACTCTGGACAAACCCTCTTTCGAATACCTTAGTGTAATTATGTCACAAAAGGCTTAGATCAGAAGTTACCTTCTTATTAGCTTCCTCAAGTTCTTTCGAGAGAGAAGCCTTCTCAGACTCTAATGTGATTCTTGCCTCACGTTCCATCCTATAACTTTCAGTGGCAGCCTAATTGTGGTAGAACAAAACAGAATAAGAGAAGGATAAAATATGGAAAAGATGAACGGCCACTACATAGCTTGGTCAAAATTGAATGCAATGAGTGATTACCAGCTTCTCTGATTCTTCCTTGGAAAGCTTATCCTTCAAAGATGAAAGCTCTTTAGTCAAGTCTGCTATAGTTGTTCTAGACACCTCTTCAGTTCGTAGCATTTCCATCTCTAAACCCCAGCAAACACAATGACATTACAAGCAGCTCTGCTAGGTCGATGACTAACTCATTACATTCTACCAACAGACCAACTTAAGGGTTCATCAAACTAATTCTTACCAGTATCCGCACATCGCTTCTCGCAAGTTTCCAAAGCATTTCGGAGCTTGCTCTCCTCCTCAACATGACCTTCCTCTCTTTTCTGACACCATTTGAGACAAAGCTTGAGCCTGCTGTTAAGCTCAGTCGTTACTTCCAAATTTCCCTACAAGCGAATCATAGAACCACCAGAGTGTGAAAGAACTGAACCACAACCAAAACCCAGGCTATAAACAAAACCAAAACTCGTCATTGTGTAACCTTGAGATCAAATCTCTTCATCTTGGGCCTCTCGTTTACCAATGCCTCAACTTCCTCCTTCGTGAACTCGGTGCAAATACTCTCCGCAGCATCATTGATGCTTGCATCTGCCGAGCTGGCCGCCGCATCCAGCTTCCTGTTAATGGAACCAAACGGCTTACGGTCGCCGCCTCCTGTCTTCACTGCAGCAGCTCCAACCCTCCGACGCTTGTCTAACGGAACCCCGTCACCATCACCCCGTTTCTACAACAAGTCAACGAATTGAGATTCCTTCAATGCTCTCTAAGACTAAGAACGCCAAATTCAGAACTAAGGGAAAATTAAACTAGAAATCAGGCACTCACAGTAGCAGGACTCCGAGGAGGCCTGTTCTGGTTCCGAGAAGCCATCATTGGACCGTTCGTCTGGAACTAAACAAAAGAACTGAGGCCAACGGTGCTTGTGGAAAGAAACTGCTTCCTCCTCTCTAAGTGTGTTCTTCGGAGAGGGCTCGATTCAATTCGATCCCGTCGATTGACACGGCGAGCGGCGGAATGATGGTCGGAATTAGCTACTGGAACGGGAGATCTGAGCTTTCGCCGGCGAAATCTGAATATGTCGACCGTTAGGGTTGCGACGGACGGAGAAGCCGGAGAGAGAGAGATTGGGAAATCGATTTGGGCGGAAAATGAAATTTCGAAACGATTTGAATTTTTGGGAGACGAGGCGCGTCTATTTTGACAGGGTGGAATGGAAAGGAAAGTGTACGTTGGAAGAATTCACCTGGGCTCGGCCCAGTTCCATTCATCGTAAAATTTGCAGCGGGCTGGGCTGGGATGGGCCCAGCCACTTATTCCCATCCAAACCGGCAGAAAAACACACTCATCTCATAGACTCCACGTGGCAGCCAACCACCAGCCCACAATCGAATCCGACATGTCAAAACGGAGAAAACTGACCAACACGTGTCGTGCTCTAATTGGTGCGAATCATATCCTGCCTTATCTAATGGCAGATAAGGCAAGTTTTCAGCCAACAATCAATCTACATCACACACACAATTGAACAAATAACCAGTGCCAGATATACAGAGCTCCAGAAAGCAAACCATAATCAGAAACTGGACAACAATGGCTCAGGCGATGGCTTCGATGGGTGGCTCGACCCGATTGAACGTGGCTAGCGCCACCGGCCGCGTGGCCGCAGCTCGTACGGGCAGCTGCCTAACGGTTCGAGCACAGCAGCAGGCTTCTGAGCCGGAAACCAGCCGCCGATCAATGATGGGTCTCGTCGCCGTCGGTTTGGCTTCTGGGTCTTTCGTCCAGGCTGTGCTCGCCGAGGCCAATTCGATCAAGATTGGCCCTCCTCCGGCTCCCTCCGGTGGACTGCGTAAGTAAATTGATATGGGTTCGTCTCTGTTTATTTGTTTGACCGGTCAATTTGAGGGTTATGAAATTCTTTGATTCTGCCAGCTGGGACTCTGAACGCCGACGAGGCGAGGGACGTGGACCTGCCGCTGAAGGAGAGGTTCTATCTGCAGCCGCAGACGCCGGCGGAGGCGGCGGCGAGGGTCAAAGTGTCGGCCAATGAGATAGTGAACGTGAAGTCGTTCATTGACAAGAAGGCTTGGCCATATGTGATGAACGACCTTCGGCTCAGGGCGTCGTACCTTCGCTACGACCTCAAGACCGTGATCGCTTCCAAGCCTAAGCCGGAGAAGCAAGCCCTCACCGATCTCACCGGAAAGCTCTTCCAGAGCATCAACAATGTAAGTTTTATAAGATTGATATAAGATCTTATCTTAAACTTCTCTCGACAACTCCGAGCTCACTAGGTTTCGGCCGTGCATTAGAGACTGTAGGTGACGGCTTAGGCGTTCGAATCCTGATTGTGCATGAACGCTAGATTGATGCACTAGTCTTTGTCGGGTTTATACAATCTTTCAAGTCAATGAACGTATAAATGAATGATATAAACCCTGTTTGGAAATCTTCTAAGAGCTCAGAGTTCTTTTAAGATTAACTGATTCTTTGTATTGCCCAATTATTGCTAGTGTCAAAACTTTTTTGAATCTAAAGGTGCTGATCAAAAATTTTGTGTTCTTTTGATGGGTTTATTGCAGCTGGATTATGCAGCAAAGATCAAGAGCTCTCCTCAGGCAGAGAAGTACTATGCTGAGACCGTATCTAACTTGAATGATGTTCTGGCTAAGCTGGGTTAAGACTTAAGAGCTAGGGCTAAGAATTGCTGTATTTTCCATGGAAAACATTTTTCTGTTAGTTTGTTTGGGACTATGATGAGATCATTGCTTGCTCCCATCGTAAATTCGTAATGTTATTTTGCAGGGGGGAGACAACTGTGTAATTACAACTTTAATTTTCCAGCCTTATATGAAGAAGCTCTTTGAATCTGAGATCAAAGTGATTAGTTCCAAGGAACAAATCTCGAATGCCCAAGTCCCTAACCTTAGCTTGTAGGCATTAGAACCTTTTAACTCTACTGGTTTTATTTGGTTTATCATTGTCTCCCTCCGCCTTTAATGGAAAGATCAATGTTAGAAACCCTCTTTCTAGGGCTTCTAGAGACTGATCTTGGGCACCCGTGATTGCTCATAACAATCGGAATTGGGAATAAAAATTAGAGATTTAGATAAGAGAATTGAGTATTAAGGATTGAAGACCGTATTGGGGAAGAACATAAGAGAATGGCCGAAGCCTGTAGGAAGAAGGATAGAGTTTGAGGGAGAAAGATAGATTAGGGTTTGAGAGATATTTTCTGAATAATTGTTCTTATTAAGCTTAGGGGTTTAGTTTAGTAGCTAATCACTTAAAGTTCATTTGCACGGATGTCCGATTCTTGGGACGAGAATGATCCAAATCAGATTGGTCATGAAGATATATCAATGGAAACAGATCGTGATGCAGTTGCATCCATTACACAAGATATCTACCATGTTTACGACTCTGAGAATGACATGACATCCGATGATCCGTACCACGAAGATAGGGCTGCCTTACGTTCCTATGGGAAAGGGAAGAGAAGGAAGGTGAATGCAATGACGGTTGTCGATGGGGAAGAGGTTGATAACCTTGAGGAGTTTGAGGAAGACGAAACTGAAGATGATGAGGAGGAAGGAGATGATGCAGCTCTACAACCACCTCATAACTCACATCACTCCCCTTCCCACCAGGCTTCAGAGGCACCTCCATAACTGGCGTGGGTGTTTATGTCGATGAGAACACGGGGAACGAATATGTTAGGGTGAGTTGACAAATATTGTAAGGGTGGTATTTTTTGAATACAAACTGCCTAAGTACTTACATATGTCTGTTCTTAGATTTGCAGCTGAATGGGGCACGTGGTCGCCCTCATGGAGACCCAAAACCAGTTCCTTTAACCCAAACTTCTGTGGTGGACTCACATGGAAGCCAACCACCACCAACTCAGCCTTAGAATGCCATGAAAGCAACCTTTTGACTCGTTTTTTGTACAGGCTAGCAACTGAGGTTGTTAGGTGCTATTTTGGACGACTCGTGTAATGGCTATAAGAAGCCTTAAGGAATGCTAACTTTTTGTTAAGAGTCTTGCATACTCTTTCTGTAGTGGAAACACCTTATGTTAGGTTATATTATGGGTTAAAAAATAATGTAACCAAGTGATGTGAACAAGTGATGTCAATAAGTAATGTGAACAAGCAATGCAGTTATTATGTTAGGTTATGTAATGCAAGTTATGCACTTCTTCTGTACACAAATAGAACTTATGTAACTCTTTTCATCATTCAACGCCAAAATATTATACCAAATACAGGTGGACAAACTTACATACCCATGGAAGTTCGACATCGAATTACATAGCCAGCTTACATAAACGATAACTTACATGCCACAATCCTTCCTCCACAGAACCACAAACAAAAACACATTCATGATCAACAAAATAGTCAACATATATCTCATGACCCGGATCTTTTCAGCTAATCCAACTTGCCGAACTTGCATCCCATTCCTTAGCTCTTATGCCATTAGCTTTTTATCCTTCTTCCTCCTCTCATCATTGGATTCGGCCAACCCAAGTCTCTCTTCCAACTTCATAATAATACTCTCCATCTCATGGTTCCTTGACTCTAATGTTTCCTCATTGCCGTTCACCCACCTAAAAAATCTACATCCTTTCCCATCCTGCAAACCATCGTCCCTCCTTAGTCAACCAACATCAAACAGATAAAATCATCAAATTACAATGAAATGGGCTTACCTTCCAATAACGACATCCATAGAACTGCCTTCTTGGATTCAACTCAGTCCCAGAGGTATTAATCATAGTCACAGCTAGGACATTGTGTTCGCATAGGATAGAAAACCCACTTTTGACGGTTGTTGAGCCCGAATCGGCGCCATTCTTGCGAGCACCCCGACTGCCCCTTTGTGACATCGTTAGGGATGGGAAATGCGGACTGTCGATGGAAATATGGAAGGGACGAGGGGAGCCAGAGGTTGGCGAAATCGGTGAATGAGTAGGGCGACAAGCGACGACGGCGAAATCACTGTTGTTGGCGGTTTCGATGGTTCTTCGCCGGATTGAGGCTGCCGCTGTGAGGAAGATGGAAGCCGATTTCGGCTGTTTATGGGAGGAAGATGAAATCGAAAATTACGACGGAGGAGAAGCCGTTGGGGATATTTAATTGCCCCAATCGGTTCTCTCTCCTCCGGATGACGTGCGCGCGGAGGTGGCAATTCTAGTCCAGTTGGCGCCAACGTGGAGTAAAAAATTTGGCCACCTCAGCAACGCGAACAGGTAACTAACGACATCCCTAACGACGTCACATTTAATAACGGAAATGGCTATAATTGTCAAAGCATTTTTCAAATTTTTGGCTATTTCTGTGTATTTTTCAGAATCTGGCTATATTTGTTACAAAATGCAAAGTTATTGTTATGAAAGTGTATTTTGCCTAAAAAAGAAGCTGAAACTAAAACAAAGAAACAAAGGTTTTGTACAAATTGAGTTGGACCTTATGAAAACTGGGCCTGTGATTGCAGGTGTTTCTTTTGTCTACGAGCCCACACGCGTTTCACCCGCTTGCAAAGTTATTCAGCCCATATAATAAAGTTCCTGCATTTTGATATTTTCATATTCCCGCCCTCGCTAACAAGTAACAACTTTTCCCGGAATGCCAGCTCATACGGGGTAAAATTCAAATAAACAAACGAGGAAAGCAAATTCTCATCATCCAGCCGTCCAGTCCTACCCCGAATCAACGGCCACAGATCGCGATCCGCGTCAGTCCCGCTGATTGGTGAAACTCATTCCTACCCACTATATAAACCATTGCTTGAAAGATTTCAAGCCACAATCCCACAACTTCTGTTCAGTGAAATTAGCGCCACTACCAAATTCCTCCATCGAAACTTTACGAAATTTTGAAAATCCTCATCTCAACTTCACCAATGGCCGGAAGAGGAAAATCGCTGGGCTCCGGCAAGTCCCAGAAGAGCACCACCAGGAGCACGAAAGCCGGCCTGCAGTTCCCCGTCGGCCGCATCGCTCGCTTCTTGAAAGCCGGCAAGTATGCCGACCGCGTCGGCGCCGGAGCTCCCGTCTACCTCGCCGCCGTCCTCGAGTACCTCGCTGCCGAGGTAAATTTTCCCTTTCCACTTTCCCATTCACTCCTGTTTCTCAATCAAATCATGGAAAGCTCTCAGATCTGGAACCTAACTGTATTGTTTTGGTGATTCTTTTTTTTTTGTTCTTCAGGTTCTTGAACTGGCCGGGAACGCCGCGAGAGACAACAAGAAGACGAGGGTCGTCCCGAGACACGTGCAGTTGGCGGTGAGGAACGACGAGGAGTTGAGCAAGCTGCTTGGTTCCGTCACCATCGCTAACGGCGGCGTGATGCCAAACATCCACAACATGCTTTTGCCCAAGAGGGCCGACGCCAAAGGCCGCTCTGCCGCCGCCGCCGCCGACGAGTAGATGCTCTGTTTCTTTTTTTGTACTTGACATTGTGAAGCGGAAATTTGCAGAGGAAGTAGCTTAGGTTAATTAGATGTACTGATTTCCTTACAGTTTCTTGTATGGGTTCTATGATCGGATCGCTAATGAATGAAATCCATTTTCATTTCGATTTGAATTCATCTGTTCGGAACTATATTTAAGAATATGCGAGCAAATCTGTTTGTGAATGAACGAAGGGGATTGGACAGAAGATTACAAGTGGGTATTTCGAACTAAGGAACAATTTGAGCTCTGAACTTGAATTGGTGCTAGACATGGCCGGCGTGAAGGTGTTGTTCTTCCTTGGCTGCGGCGGCGGCAGAGACGTAGTAGGCGATGGTAAAGAGCCCATGGATGAAGCAAAGAATCCCTCCAATGGAAAGCACTCGATTGTGAGAGAGGCCGCAAGATTTTCTGGACTTGGAGTTCGCCATTATTCCTATGATCAGCATTGAGAACCCAACCACCATGGTGATCCTGTTTTCCACAAACCAAAATAAACCCCAAATTAGTGACAGCCGTGAGCAAATCTCACCAAGTTATGTAACAGAAGGAGAAAAAGAAGAGGGGATTAGCATCAGCTTATTACCATGCGAAGATGAGGGAGGCGACGGCTAATTGCCGGTTGGCGGAGGCTCTCGTGAACTCTGCTTTGGACGACATGCAAACGCACCCGCCGAGCAAGTTGGCAATTACATGTGCAAACGTTAGCAACACTGCAGCGGCAACCCCAAGCTTGAAAGCCTTTAGACTCGGGTCCCGGCACTCAAAGATCCACACCTTCAAATGCTTCACCTGGTCCAGATCGAGAGGAAATCGTTAAGTCCTACGTCTTCTTCTGGTTCGTAGCTTCATATCATGCACCTTTATTAGCTGAAACAATCAGAAACATGAAGGTGTCATACCTTGTTCTGAGAGATATCAGCTTCAATCCCAAGTATGCCAGCAGTGACATCCATGGCCATGATCAGGAGGCAAATCGCCACTCCAACGTTCTTATTATTCGACATTCTCTCGCTCGATCTGATCGTCGGAAGAGGTAGCCAAATATGTCCAGAGTCTGTCTTTGGAAGAAGCTTGCGGGAGAGAACGTGAATCCTTTCATACTTATAAAAGCTAGGTGGTGGATTATATTCTTGGAGAAGCAATCTAACGTTGAACGAATGGGAGAGTGCGTGGAAGATGGGAAATTGGGAATACGAATAAAGGGTTAATTAGGAATGGGTGGCTAATCAATCTCTAAAGGCACAGACTTCTCCATTTTCGATCGATCCTCTGCAATTGTTCTTGTAACCAGTAAGTGCGTGATGGGATTAGCTGTTAAATAAGCTGAAAAAGCTTCTTCTTGTCCCCAAACGGGGATGGCTTTATTCTGTCTTTTTTGCCTTGTTTTTGAGGTTTATGTTATGTTACATATTGTTGCTTTTCCCCTTCTTTTTTTGGGTCTCCAAGTTGTGGGGTAACTAGCTAGCCAAGTTCTTATTCCTTCCATGGGGGACAAGAAAGGCAGAGTATCTCCTAACGAGCATTCATCTCCTAGAAATGCTTTTAGATGATGAAGACAACTCATATCTTACAAAATTTTGGTTTGAGGACTCACATATCCATGCATCGTATTGGTCTAGATCTAAAAAAGCTTGACTGGATTACCAACAAATTACGAGCAGCTGAAGCGAAATTGAGCTAGTGATAATGAGATGTAAACATCCGGAGCATGAGCCAGTAACAAATTTTTTTTAGTGGTTTCAAGTCTTTAACTCATAGATGTTAGCTAAATCTAGCGACTATGTAGTTGTCGTGGATAACTGCATAAATTAGTAAATGACTAGACATGAAGTGAATTACACTCTCATGAACGGCAAAACAAGTATTGAACTTCCAATCATACAATCAAGAGATAGGGTGAAAACTCTTTTGAAATTTACCATGATTCTCTGGAATCTATGGAACGAGAGGAGTAATCACGTCTTTCACAATAGGACATAAGAGGAGAGGGAAATCTTCGACAAGGCTATATCCGACTGGTAAGAGTACAATTCATTCCATTAGGAGGAGGAAGGAGCGAGAGTAGCAAGAAATATGACCTAGGAAAAGTCGCATGTGGGATGGTTAAAGGTGAATGTCTATACAACTACCTTTGCGGGAGAGGGATGGTGTAGTGGTGCTGGATTCAGAGAGGAAGTATCTTTTGATAAGAAGATGGTCGAAATGAAGCGTTTGTTCCCTGCAATCGTAGAAACAAATTGCTTGAAGGCGGTTTCAAAACTCAACCAGTCCAACTGGTCTTCTTTTGAAGCATGTTGACTTAGTGATGAAATACGAGAGAGTCTTGGAGAATTAGTAAGTCGGAATGAACTTTTGCAATGAGAGAATGCAAGAAAGTAGCCCATATAATGGCCCGCACACTATGCAATTGGGTTACTAAGTAAGTTTGGGTCGAAAGACAGCCTATCTTTATTATCTCTTTGTTGCTTTTTATTGTAACACCATCCTATGGCTGTTGCTACCAATCGGTTCACAAGATGAACCTTTATATTCGTTTTTGCCAAGCTCTCAATAGATCTTTGTTGGTATTATATTGATACTTGAAATCAAATTGCCTAATGTATCCTAAAAAGTCCTCTTCCCAAAGTAGATGGGATTGGAAATGCTTATGTATCTCTTAGTTTACGTAATACTCCTTGGTAAACAATAGTAGTGGAATAGACGACACTCAATTAGACCATCGAAGCTTCTTCCATCCTTCCATTTCCAACTAAGATTTCTGTACAAAACTTCGTGTACCTTGGGATTTTCATAACCACATCCAAAAACGAAACTATTACCTTCAACTGCCTGAGAATTTGTCATTCGTTTCACTAGATTCTTCAACTTGGTCCCTTGCTCTAGGGACATCCAACAAAGGAATCCGAGTTACCTGCTCTGATGTAGCATTCCCAATTGCACGACCACTCCTTAAGATGACTGCATGTCACCCTCCTTAGGATTTGGTTCCGTATTACCCGATAAAGTACCTTGTGGTCTAACCGACATAGCTTGAGAAATTGTGCAAACTTGTGCTTCGAGATTCTGGACTAAAGCTTGTTGATTCCTTTGTCCAACTACTTTTATTCTCAACAAACTTATCAGTGAAATATTTTCAGCGTTAGAGACAAATTGTCCCACCATATCCTCCAATCTATTCATCAAGTATCATTTTGATGAATAAAAGTAAGATTCTAAATCGATGGAATTTTGAACTCGATCTCTATCCTTTCATCACTCCCTTCATCTCACTTTTCTCCCAAAAGGTAAGATAAATTTATCAAAGGCAATATATCTGTCCTTAACTAGTTATCAAACCTTTAAAGCAAAATTTCCGTTCCTTTTAAGTACAAGACCTACTCACCCATCTAGTAAGTGGTGGGAGAGACAGTGTTGTTTTGCACAAATTGTTCGCTCATAGGAGGATAGGAGAAAAACATTTTTAGTTCTTTACCAACAACACCGACAACCCAATTTGTACCTCAAGCCCAGTTCTCTGAGGTAGCTAGGCCTAGTCTTCAACACGAAGATGTACTTAAATTCATAAAAAAGTAGATGCAGATTGTAATTTCGTTCAAGATACTTGATTCAGAAAGAAAGAAAGAAAAGCAGATGCAGAAGTCTAAAATTAGGCATGGAATATAAAGAGAGGATAACATGCATTCGAGTTATTGCTCTTCCTCTTAATGTATGTCTTCTCTAGTTGTTGGCATGGGAATGAGGTACAATTTTTCTTTCCTCCTGATCGCAGTATCAAAGTGCTCGGTCATGTCTAGATCTTCTGGTCTCATGTCGCAAGGGAGCTTCCAGTCAAAATGAAAGAGTAAATTTGCTAGTGTAAGTTCAACGATGGGCATTGCAAATTGTATTGCAGGACACATCCTTCTTCCACCACCAAAAGGTAAGAATGTGAAATGTGTTCCTTTGTAGTCAATTGGAGAGTCAAGAAACCTTTCTGGTTTGAATTTCTCAGCTTCATCCCAATAACTTGGATCTCTTCCTATAGCCCACATATCGATCATGATTCGACTCTTTTGGGGGACGTCGAATCCATTAATCTCCATACTCTCCCGACTTTCTCTCAGAAGTATTGGGCCAGCAGGGTGAAGCCGAAAAGTCTCTTTGATAACTGCATTCAAATACTCCAACTTATGGAGTCCTTCCTCGTCTACTCTATCACGAAATGTACTTCTCACTTCTTTCTGTACTCTTTGTGTTACGCTTGGATTTTTTATAATTTCAGACATAGCCCACTCAATTGTTCCGGGTGTTGTGTCAGCCCCACCAATGAACACATTCTGTATCAAATTAAACAACCATACAAATGATTGGATAGATCAAGATCATGCTTTAGATGGATATGGTTTGGAGTAAAGAGACAGAGAGATGTGTTTATATACAAAACTGTAGCTACTTACAAGGAGGACTGCTTTGACGGTATCCATGGTTAGGTCGAGGTCATCATTTTCTTGAAGGTTGAGAAGAATATCTACGAGATCCTCTTTTGCCCCATCACCATCACCATCATCAACAACATGACTGGAAGCACTAGTTTCGATACGCCGTAGTGCTCTGTTTTCGATGTGTTGGTTGATTACTTCATCCAGCACCGAATCCGCTGCTCGATGAAGCGCGACGAGCTTCGATCGATGCCCACTAATAACCGGAAGCAATCCGATCGAAGGGAAGAGATCCGAGACCCTGAACCCTCCAAACGAGCTCACCATACTCTCCACAACCGGGAACAACTTCGCACTCTGTTTCGGGGACTTCCCGAAAGCCGACCTGCTAGTGATGGAATTGGTTAACGAAATCACCATATGTTTGAGATCCACGGCCTGCCCCTCTCTTGCATTGATGGAGGCGACGAGATTGTCGACCTCCTGAAGCCTGATTGTGCGGAAAGACAGCACGCGCTTGGCAGAGAGCAGCTCCATGGTGCAGAGCTTCCGCATCTGCCTCCAGTGGTCGCCGTGGGGAGAAAAGACCAGATCCTTGCAGCCGTAGAAGATGATTTCCTGTGCGAGGCCCGAAGGTCTCGAAGCGCAGGCGCTGTCGTGGGTTTTCAGCACTTGTTCGGCGGCTGCAGGGGAAGAGATCAGGATGTCGGAGTGCTCACCGAGCTGAAGCCGGACCACGGGGCCGTATCTCTTGGAGAATTCGGACAGGACTTGGTGCGGCTGCAGGTGCCTGCTCATCATGATTAGCTGGTGGAGGTTTCCAATGATGGGGAGCTTCCATGGCCCCGGCGGCGGTGGTGGTAATTTCGATTTCTTTCTCATCGTGCTTCTAATTATGACCCTAGTTCCAGCCATGATTCCGAACAACGTGAGCAGAAATCCCCAAAAGAAACAGTGGGGTAAGCCCGTCTCCATTGATTCCTTCTCCTAATCTGATTTCAGTCAGATAGTTTTAATCAGGATCTGGGCTTGGTCGATCAGGGGATTAATTCCCCACCCGTTTATATAATTGTAGATGCATACACAAAGCAACGCTTTGCCTGCAGCTGCAGGCAGCATTCACTTGACTGAATATGTTATTAGACAGCGCCGGCAGGCAGGCGGATCGGCCGGCCGATTGATATCCGAGTTTGACCACTAAATAAGTTCTTTCTGCGAATACATAAGAAAACATATGTAGAGGGGGCATCGTTATTGATCAGAACATTCACAAGCAGTTGAGCACAGTTCTTATCTATGTGATTGCCCAAAATTTTCTCAACGAATCACACAATATTGTCATCATCATTTGTTACTATCAATCAATCAATCAATTAAAAGGCCAATAATTCGACATTGTTCATTACGAAAGTTTCGCTAATTACTTAATGGTTTACTATTCATTGGGAGATTGTTTTCCCGGGACCGCTTTTATATTGAGATTTTGTGTTCGCGTATTCTTTTGAGGTTGGCTAACCAATCACCTATTTTGGTTTGTCTTTCTCCTTGCATATAAGTCTTAGATAGATCAGATAATTATTCACTTTTAATTTCATTCTTTCTAATTAGTATGTGTCCAACCTTATCATGGGTTGGCCGGGGTAAAACATTTGACACTTTACATACTTTTTACGGTTTATTAAGAAAAAATAGACTATTTTTTTCACGAGTACTTTCACAATACGGTTTTTTTCCTCATATATCCAATTTTATCATAAGTCCTTTTTTCTCCTTTTCTGCAATATTATTCATATGAGTTTTATTCCCTAAAACCACTTCTATGATAAGTCTAAAATTCATATGCAAATAATATTAGACCACATATTATGAAATATTTATTTAACACCATTCAATAAATGTTACATAAATTAAAAATTCGTTAATGTTACTTACTATAACTTGATTATACTATTAGACCGCACATTATGAAAAATTTATTTAATATGTTCTATAACTGTTACATGAATTTTCCTTAGTGATTACACTACGTAAAATTTATGGACAAGTGCTCATTTATGTAACAATTAAAAAAATAATATGTAAAGTTTCTACAATAATTAAACACTACTTCAAATTTATGTAGAAATAGTTATTCAAAATGTATCACTTAACCAAACAGATGACATATGTTATTCGTAATGATTAAGACATCACGTGAAACGTACATATGTATTTTATCTGGATATTTTTTTTGTTTTAAACTAAATCATTAATTTCTTACCGCGACGGAGCGCGTGCCAAAAAAACTAGTATATACAAAATCGGGGTAGAATCGGATACTTCAAAATACAAAAATGGTCTACAAAAAGGTTCACCTTCAGAAAACACATCGATCATTGATAGCAATATGGTTATGCTAAGTCTATGTATTAAGCACCATAACGCATGACAAACCACTCTAACATTATGGGAGTCGATGCAATTATATCAGTATCAACTAAGTTTTGACAGGAGGGAATAAGGAGTCCCCCAAGCTCTTCCTAGCTATCTCATTGGAAATGGCATTTCCCGTTTTCGATATATTCAGACCTTCAATTGATGAATTCCTCTAAGAAAGTTCCCCACAGAAGAGACCACTAAAACCACCCTCTCTAACTTTCCTTTTTTATGCCTTCTCTCTAAGTTAGAGTTCATTTTCAAGTCTCCATAGGGATGCCGTCGGCTTCCCTTTGGGACCGACGGTGGCCCTCCAACTCTTTTACCTTTCCTGCTTGTTATTTTGCTTGGTTCCTTTTTCATTTTCATTGCATGTTTCAATTTTCCTTGTCCCGATATCCGTTTCACCTTCATGCCCATCTTTGGGGTTTTCATTCTGCCACTCCTTGTGAGATGGATGTCTCCTGTTCCAACCTCTACCTTCTGATCCTCAGATTTAGATGTGCTTGGTTCTTTCGCTCGGTGGTCAAAGGGGGCTATAGATCTTTGATCGGTAGCTTGTCTTCTCATCTTCTTACCTTTCATCTACCCCATTGCTTCACCCATTGCGTCGGTGTTTCGGAGATGCAAAGGCCTTCTCATATGCAACGGCCTAGATGTGGTTCTTAGATGTTGAAGGCAGGGCGATGCATCATTCTGAAACTCGTCTCTTTTCTCCAAGCCTGTTCGTTGCTGTTTTTGTGGTCTCCGGGCTCCTTGCGGACTGCAGTTCTCCCGTTGTGGCGTTGGTCCGGTCGTTGCATGGTGATTGGTTTTCGATGGCTCTGTATGGATGGTTGGCGGCGACAGGTTGGAGAAGAGATGATAGCTAGGGTTGGTGTTGGTAGTTGTCTTTTGGGTTAATTTGGCTCTCTTTGCGGGCTTTGGGTTTTGGCCTTCATTTTTGGTTTCTTTTTGAAACATTTGTAAGGGCTTTGTTTGTGGGCTTTTTTCCCCTTTTGATTTCTGCTGTATCTTTTCATGGGTTTTACCCTAAACTTTTTACTCACTTTTGAAGTGCAATATACGCAGCTTCTTGTAAAAAAAAAACTAAGTTTTGACAGGTAGGCCACCTCTTATGTAGACCCACCCCAGAGTGACATTACTACGTACTGAAAATGACTTTTTTTCCCCGATTAATTGAATTATTGAAACCCACCACCCTAACAACCTTTTGTCAAACCAACTATACCGAAAATATCTCAGTCAGGTTGTTGCTTATATGTAACTTCAATGACATGTTAAATGACCTTCAAATATTTATGCTTGTTATTTAAGCCAATGATATATTATAGTCTCAATTTGTGTATGTACGTATGTGTAATTGGTTGTGATTATGATGATGGATTTAAGCCCGTTAGTCAATACGAGGGCTAGCTAGTTATCGATCACATTTTCATATACATATATACGATGTTGTTAAAGTTATATTTTTGTTCTTCAATTCCTATTTGTGGTCTAAAAACGACATATGAAAGTCATAATGGATTACCTACAATAATGATATAATAATAAAAAATGGTATGGGATACGACGATACAAAATTAAGTGCTACAAACCTACAAACACTCGTATCTTACCACTCCAGATACGATTCATACCACCCCGATATCACGTCGGAGGTGATATGAAATTATATCAAAAGAAAGTTTTAGGTCACATGTAATTTCTGTCGTAGGGCATCAAAGGGCTGTATGTTTCAACAAAAGATCTCATATTGTAGACGAATCATGATCAAGACAGTTTCAGAGGCTCCCAGCGCGTGGACCATTCACATATATGGACATCAAACTCGAGTTATATGACCTTGGCCGCCGATGCCTGGTCCAGGTTGCAACCCGTCGCTGTCCTTCATCGGAATCTAAAGTTGCAACACGAAAAGCAACAAAAACATGGCGCTGAATTTAACGGGAAAAAAAAACATGGCGCTGATGATCTCGCTTATAATTAGGGGTGGCTATTTGGACCGGGACCGGATTAAAAACCGGAAACCGAGACCGGACCGGGACCGGATAGTAAACAATCCAATCCAATCTTTGGGCTTAGATTTGAGGTAAAAAACCGGATAAAGACCGGATAAGAGAGCTCAACACCAAAAACTTAAGGGTAATTTGCATAAACGGTCACAAACCTTTGCACTTAGTACAAAACTTAACCAACTCCTCACCCTTTAAGTCCTTAGGCCACTCAAATCCCACAATCTCAATGTAAAATCAAGACCGAATTGGGACCGGACCGGATCAAAACCGGATCGGATCAAGACCGGACTGTATCCAATCCAATCTTTGGTCCTTATATTTTCAAAAAGACCGGACTGGACCGGATCAATTTGGGCCAATTTAACCGGACCGGACCGTATAGCCACCCCTATTTATAATTTCTCGGTTATTGGACGTTGGTGATGGTCCTATATATATAATATATGAATCGCAAGCATTATCTCTACGTATAAGAAGAAAGAACAAGAGAGAACAATTACTAGTTCTCATCGAGAGAGACTATATTAGTTTCCTTTGCAATCATGACGAACCAGCTGGATTCGAGGAGATCGGCCAATTACAAGCCAAACATATGGGAATATGGCTTTCTACAATCTCTTTCTGCCACTGACCAAGTACTCTTCTTCTTATTCTTATTCTTCTTCTTCTTCTTCTTGCTACGTCAAGAGAATGATATATCATCTCCTTACTGTATAATATTATTTACAGGACATGAAGGAATACGAGTTGCGAGCTGAAAAGTTAAAAGAGGAAGCGAAGTTTCTCTTCGCGGAAGCAGCAGCAGACGACTGGGTGGCTAAGCTGGAGCTTATTGACAGCGTGAGGAAGCTAGGGTTAGACAGCTTCTTTGAGGATGAAATCAAAGAGGTTCTCGATGCACTGTCCATATCCATCGGAGATTCAAGTTTCCACATCGTGAAACGGAACCTCCATTTCTGCGCACTGTCCTTCAGGCTGCTTCGACAATGCGGCTATCGTGTTTCTCAAGGTACGTTTCGGATTGGACCATTTTGTCTTCTCTCTCGACTTCGTATGTGGAGAAAATTTACATCACGTCCCAGAGCTGAGCTTTGCTTGCCTAACTAAACTATCGCTTTAGTTCTGGTTGGTTGATTTGGTGGGCATTGCGGCTAGAAGCATTTAAGAAGTGCGATGTGAATTTGTACCGTGACAGCTCATATGGTGTGACAATGTTTCATCATAGACACTTCAGTTCTTTTTTACGCGGTTTATTTTCAAACAAAAAGTCACGTAACTAGCTAATATCCAAAAAACTCGCGCTTATTTTTCGTCCTGTGTTTTCAATCTCTTGATTCAGCTGAACTATTAGTTTTCATATTCAGCAACACCACACAATAATACTAGTCATATCGATCGATTATACATTAAAATTTGTAACATATACATCATCATTCTCATTGAACTATAAAACCGGTTCGATTAACTTGTCTGGTTTATATTTCTTTTCTCAGACATGTTCATCGAGTTCATGGACAAACCCACGAGGAGTTTCATGGAAAGCAAGTGCTGTGGGGACGTATTAGGGTTAGTGGAGCTATTTGAGGCCTCATATTTGGGATTGAAGGACGAAGATATTATGGAAGAAGCCAATCGCTTCTCAACCAGAGTCCTGAAGAGCAGCTATCCGAGGTTATTACTTCATCGTAACAACGACCTGGCAGAACGTGTGGCCCACGCTCTGGAGCTCCCGATCCACTGGCGCGTACGGTGGTTCGACGTGAAGTGGCAGATCAAGGTCCAGAAGAAGAAGGTGGGCAGGGCATTGATTGACTTGGCTAAGGTCAACTTCAACGTGGTCCAATCCGTACTCCAGAGGGATTTGAAAAAAATCTCCAGGTATACGTGCTATATATTTGGCCACCAATATTATTTGGTTGCAAAAGCTCCATTTTTGCACGTTGATGACTATACTATTGTGGGGATATGAAATTGGGCAAGATGTTGTTGATAGGTGGTGGAAGGATCTTGGTCTGATTGAAAGGCTGGACTTCACGAGGGATCGAGTCGTGGAGAGCTTCCTGTGCTCAGTGGGACTTGCGATCGGGACTGAGTTTAGCGGTTTCAGAATACGTCTCACGAAAATTATATTGATGATACTGGTACTCGACGACGTTTACGATGTTTATGGATCCATAGAAGAACTACATCACTTCACAACTGCCATTGACAAGTAAGCAACTTTGTTGATTGAAACTAGAATAACGACATATATATGTTGGGACCTCCTACAGTAACTTGGGTATAATTTTAAGTTAGGTAACTTACATAAATCTAGACCATTAAAATCAGTTAGAATCATCTCAAGCCATTGATTAAGAAAAAAAAAAAAAAGGGAGACCGGCACTGCCAGTTACTTTCCCGTTACCTTTATTTTTTCTTTCCTAATACTTTCCCATTTTTTTTTCCTTTTTCTTTCCATTTTGTTTTTTGTTGAACAATTTCTTTCTTTTTTACCTTAGGAGCTCTGCTTGATTTTACCCAGTTGCATGTATTTAAATTTTTTTATTTTATCTTTTCATAATTTTTTTATGATAGTTTTATACCGAAAATGTTATGGAAGACTCGAAATAAATACTTTCCGTAAATAGCTCAAACGTGATCGGTTAATATTCATTACGTAAAAGAAGTCTCAATTACGTAAGACTTTCGTGATGACATTTTACAATTGTTACGTAAAATACACATCTATTACGTAATGCTTCTGTAATGACCATTGTTTCTTACGTAATAATTAAATCAGAAGCGTTACGTAAGGCTTCCGTAATGATTTCACACTTTACGTAACGCAAGGTTAATATTCATTACGGAAAAGATGCCTCAATTACGTAAGGCTTCCATAATGACATTTTACAACTGTTACGTACAATACACATTCATTACGTAAGTCTTCCGTAATGACAATTGTTTCTTGCGTAACAGTTAAATCAGAAGCGTTACGTAAGGCTTCCATAATGCCTTCATACTTTACGTAACACAAGGTTAATATTCATTACGGAAAAGAAACCTCAATTACATAAGGCTTCTGTAATGACATTTTACAACTGCTGCGTAAAATACACATCCATTACGTAAGCCTTCCGTAACGACAGTTATTTCTTACGTAATAGTTAAATCAGAAGCGTTACGTAAGGCTTCCGTAATGCCTCAACACTTTACGTAACAGAGGGTTAATATTCATTACATAAGGCTTCCGTAATAACAGTAATTTCTTACGTAACAGTTAAATTAGAAGCATTACGTAAGACTTCCGTAATTACTTATCATTTTACGTAACGCGAGATAAATATTCATTACGTAAAAGAAGCCTCCATTACATAAGGCTTCCGTAATGATATTTTACAACTGTTACGTAAGCTATAAATACATTACGTAATCATTACGTAATACCTATTGGGTTTTACGTAATGCAACCTGTGAAACCTGCTATAGCAGGTCAAAAAAATCAAGTTACCTTACTTCAAGGCATTGTAGGAATTTCCATATATGTTTAGTGCAATTTTCGATTTTCTTTTTATCATATGCACAATTTGATTATTGGTCATCTAAATAATGAACAGATGGAATGCAAGAGAACTGGAGGAATTGCCTGAGCCTATGAAGTTGTGCTTCCAAGCCCTAACTGACATCACAGAAGAAATTTCAGTGGAGATCCAAAATGAGAGAGGCTGGGATGATGATAAACAAGTGCAGCCTCACCTTCAAAGAGTGGTAATTAATTAACTGAATTAATTAAATCAATGATACTATTTAAAACGTGTTTTAAGTATTTCTGAAAAGTTTGGTTTCTTGTGTAATATAGTGGGGAGATTTCTGCCAAGCGATGCTAGTGGAAGCAAAATGGTGCCGCGACGGACGAACCCCGTCGCTAAAGGAGTATCTTACCAACGGCAGCGTTTCATCCTCCGGCACGGTCATCGCCGTTCACTCCTTTTGCTCAGTGTCGTCGTCGTCGTCGTCGGAAATGAAAAGCAGCTTCTTGGAGAAAAGTGATCACGATCTCATTCACAATGTCTGCCTCATAATTCGCCTCTGCAACGATGTTGGAACTTCCAAGGTACGTAAAGACTAAAACTTCTATATTCGTATTATTGTCAACCTATTTCATTTTTTCATGTTTATTTGATGCCTCACGTACTAAACACACGTATAAACTCGTATAATTATTTATATTTGAATTTATTTTTATATATTTTTGTAACTATGTGTTAGTAAATGGTATATGATCCACAATTAAACATCTTCCAACAACTCGAGTTATTTGGATGAATTGGTTCTTGACACTACGAATATACTATTAAACGTATCATTAATTTAGAGACAAAATAAAATACCCATACATATTTTATACGTTACTTACCCGTACGGTATCTTTACGGACTGTGTTTGTGTTTGTAGGTGGAGCAAGAGAGAGGAGAGGCGGCATCGTCGATAGCTTGTTACATGCGTGAAGCCGATGCAACGGAGGAGGAAGCCAAGGATTACGTCAAAGGATTGATAGCCGGAGTGTGGAAGAAAATCAACGAGCAATGCTTTGGGCAGCCGCCGGCGACTCCCCGGCGGTTCGTGGACATAACCACCAACATGGCGCGTGTGGCCCATAATCTGTACCAAGACGGCGATGGGTTTGGAGGGCAAGACCACAAACGTCATCACAAGAAGCAGATTTTGTCTCTCCTCGTTCACCCTCTCTCAGGATTGAGTCCTGTTGACCGGTCAAAGTAAAAAGAGAATAGTTTGTAGAACGTAACTCAAGACATCAAATTTAAAATGTTGATTCAAAGGAAAACGGATTGCAGTAATGAAATGGGTAGACTGCAGACTAAAGTATAGTTAGAGGTTGTGATTCTCTAAATTGATGTTTTTAATCTATTTGTTTATAGTAATTTGATGTATTGATTAAAACCTATGTATTTGAAAAATACTTTATTTAGAGGTTACGATTTTGTTTTTATAATAAATTAAAGAAATTTTGGGTAGACAATTTCTTGTTAACCATGTCACGTTTTAGTAGATATTGATAATCACTCATTTTGATTGATTGTAGGTGGGTCTATAAATAAAGTTATACATAGGGATGACAAAAATATCCGTAATCGTGGATATCCGCCCGAATTTGGCCTAATCGGGTAGGGTAAAACCCGAACCCGAAGGACATTTAGTGGGTATGGGTAAAATCTGAACCCGAATATTACGGGTCATGGGTGGGCATGGATTTCTCACTATCCAATCCGAACCCGCCCGATTATACACATGCATATGTATTTTTTCTAGAAATAATCATTATTTTTCTCTAACATATTTTATATTTAGCATATAAATATAATATTTTCATGAAATTGTGTAATTTTAATTAATTTTCTTCATTCTAGTGAATTATTGTTGTATTTTTCCTCTTACGTAATGTGAGAATACGTGTGAATGTTAACATATTGGTTGGAGTTATGAAGATAAATTATTACCCATGGATACCCGAAACCCGAACGGTATGGGCATGGTTTTGATTTTCTACCCGTTTTGCATATGAGTATGGGTATGGGTAAAACCCAAACTACTATGAGTAGGGTAACGGATATGCACTATCCGCGCCCAACCCGACCCATTGCCATCCCTAATTATACATGTATTATATTACAAATTTAACTAAAAAATCTTAAATTTTTTTTTTTTTAGGGAAAAAAGTATTTCAACTTCTAGTCTCTTTAATTCCTCAATTCCGGGCTTATGATTCAGCTTTGGGTCAGAGCTCTCTAGTGAAAGCCCAATTTCTGTTTGGCTTTAGGCCAGCTGTGGACTAGTCTGGATTCTCCAGAGATACGATGTGAATCTGATTGTTCTATTTATTGGTTCAGCATTTGAGATTTGATTGTTTAACATATTCATGCATGGTTGAGTTGCTTAGCTTGTTTCATGGTTTCATGCCCCGACAAACGATCTAGCCAGCCCAGCCATCAAATCTCAATGTAGATAATATGATCGAATAACAATCCCAAGAATCATAATAATAATAATATAACAATAATAGGTCCTCAAATTGCAGCCTGGTAAATAAAATCCAGCTCCAAGATCATTACTTTATCTAGAAACGCGAAAGCCGGTTTGTTGGAATACTCTTTGCTACTCGTCAACCAATATGTTCATCGAAAGCTCGAAAGCAATATACAAATTTATTCAGAATTTTCTTATTCGAATACTCTTTGCTTCCTAACCCAACACATCTAGGTACAAAGTTGACTAATAAGCATTCTTCTGGAGACTCTGAGAGCGATCAATATTAGAGTACTCCCGATCATCATCATCGTCGTCGACGACTCCATTTCCATACATCAAAGGGACCATTTTGGCAGAATCAACGACGGCCTTCCCAAAAGCCGTCGGTAAAGGTACCGCCGGAGACAGATATTCGTGATTAAGTTGCTTCCACGTGTCTTCAATCATGTCCGCCACATGCTTCGTGGCTTCATGGACCGACACACCTGGATGCTCCTTCATGTAGCAATCCACGTAGGATCCGTCGTACCCAACTTGTTCCTCGTACTGCATGCAATCAAATAATATTTCATCATTACCATAAAATTTCGATCGATCGGTTCATCAAATTGGTCTTGATTTTGTTTACCATGGAGGAAAGGTCGTCGGACAGGCGCAGGATTTTGGCGACGGATGATATCAACGGCGGCTCGTCGCCGTCGACGAGTCCCGCGTTCTGTTCCGTTAGGCCCTTGCCCAACATGAAGAAGAAGTGGACCAGCAGCAACGGGACTCCAGAGGTCACGATTCCAGTCTTCAAGTAGTCGTCTGATTTTGGGCACTCTTTTGTTCTTAGCCATCTGGCTTCCACTAGAAATGCTTCGAACAATTTTGCCCACTACAAAAACCAACCAAACGTATATCTCTCAAAATATATATTGTTCTACTTACAACGAGGAGATCGATTCCAAATGTGTATACTTACTGCTTGTTTGAGTGAGTGCATCGGATTCCATCCATGTTTTCTGTAAACTTGGTATCCGATTTGATTAGTCGTATGATAGAGAGCCACAAAACATGTTCTCATGATCTCGGGTAGTTTTTCTACTGTGTCGGAGTCCCATCTGCACAGGAAATTAAGACATTCGTTCTGAGATTGCCGGGTCTAAAATTACATCATTTACAAACACCACCACTTAAACGAAAGCCAATTTATCTGGACTTCAATTTTCTACAGTGTATGGATACTATATATATATGCTTAGCAAATTGGGTATCGTGACTCTGACAGAAGACCTTACGGTTTACAAAGCTCTATATCATGTCAATAACCAGTTGGTCTCAATTACTCGAGTTTTTGGGAGTGATTTAATCATAGATCTTATATCATTCACTATCATGCTTCTCAAATGAAAGCCTTATTCAAATATGACGTAGAATATTGCTCCAAGTTTGAATATCATCTGGTTAATGAATGAGGGTCATCGAAATTCAAATACAAAATCTCTCGATCGTTATAAAAAAAACTCTCATACCATGTCAAGAATGCAGATAAGATGAACATGATATGCATAACTTACCTAGTAACGGCTTCTGCGAAGAGTGTGAGTTCTTCCAACGATCCATATGTGTCGAAGATGTCATCAATTAGGTACACTATGGCAATGATTTTGGCAAGCTCTACCCTGCACTCGGCGAATTCGGATCCTGACAGCGTCGCCATAGGCCATGCGCTAGCTTTAACCAGCAGCCGGTCTCTCCCAACATTCGCCGCCAAACCAACCTCATCCCACCACCTGCTTAATAATCCATCAGCAGCCCATTGACATTGACTTCGTTGTTGAAAAAAAAATGTTATGGTTGACGTGACTTGAATCGGACTATCAGTCGTTATCACTGGATTAGTCGGGGGGTCTCGTTGGATTAGGTTTAGACCCACATGGAGAAGTTCTATAAAATATTTCTCATACTCCTGTGTAATCTGTAATCTACTCGATATAGTGAAACTGGCTCTCTCTCGCCCGTGGACTAGCTAACACACATCGTGTTAGTGAACCACGTAAATCGTGTGTATGTGTTTTTCGATTCTCGCTTTCGTATTCTTGATTTATCGATTCCGGCGATTTCCCGATCCATAGCAACGCGTTTATAACGGTTATATATAAGGAAGGTAGCTCACTGATTACCGTACCTCGAAAGCTGGCCAAGTTCTTTGTGATGTATCGCCCGATTGATTTTGCAATCCAACAATGCCAGATCCTTGAGAGTCTCCACGTAGTAGTAACTCTGCCGCTTGTTTGTGATTAATGTTCCCCTGAAGCTGCTCAAGTAGTCCTTAATCGCCAGCCTTGGCATGCTCCTGTGGCAAGGATGCTTCAGAGTATTAGCGACGGCTTTTCTCGTCGCTAATTGTCCCAGGGGATCGTATTGCGACGGGTTGGCAGCTGTCCACGAACGCAGCCGGCGGGCGCTGAATTCCCGAGCTTCGTGCAATATGTGTTCTGCGGGTGTGAGCCACTGGGAAGCCTCGTAGAGTTGCATCAGTGATTGCACGTTCTGATGTCCGAATCTCGACAGGAACATCCCTTCCCGATTCTTCAACTTGTTAAACACATCTGAGAATATAATAAAGCACATAATTATCATGGGAATAACGAAGCTAATATCAATTATTTATTCCTCCCATACAAAGTTTTTATTTAATAAGAGTGTTATAGGATTTTTTTTTCATTCGAAACTACTCAAGACGATTTGAACCTGAAATCTCTAGATAGAAGACCAGTGATAGATTGTACTACTAAATCAAGTCATTCTTCGATATACAAATTTTTTTTATCGTCGTTCTGGTTGTAGTTATGAGTTTTGGAGAAGGAAGAAAAAGGTTGTAGTCTTTGTGATTCCAACCCATAACTGTTAATTATTAGAAATATTATATTTTTTTTTTCACATCACGGTTATATTTTTTTTCCGTAACTTTTACTAGTAAGATATTTATAATTTAAGAAATGATATATTTTAAAATTTAAATTATTATTTTAATCTGATATCCGAAGACAATAAAATTCCTAGATACGCGACTGACCTGAAGGGCAACGATGACCTTGTTGCCTCAACAAGCGAAAGTTCAAGGAAACCTGGAAGAGATGACCATCTTCTCGGCCGCTGCCCTCGGCCGCCATCTTGGCGGCATCTCCGAGCTCATCGTTGAGAACAGCTTCGATGTCCTCCTGGAAGTGATAGTCGATGCCGAGTCGCTGGAGAGCATCAATCATTACCAACACTTCTTCATCTTTTGCCACTGATAATTGCCTCCTCTTCGTGAACAGATGCTTTGCCTCTTTCAGCTTCTGAGCATGGTTTTCCCCCAGGCCGCTGCAGCACTGAACCATTGGTTTGAGACCACCATGGCGCCGCCGCCTAATGGTGTTTTTGTCACATGATGAGGTGAAAGAAGACAGTGAAGGATGGAGAATCGCAGAGGAGAAGGCCATAATATATAGAACTAAGTGGGCAAAGGTGAAATATTCGTCTACTTTATATATCTTGTTGCTCTAGTACTTCTGGTTGATGAATGTGCAGCCTACTTATAGTGGAATGTAGAGCGAGTCAGAGATCGAATCTCAATAAAGGATTATATCATATAATTGTAATATAATTATAACAATAGCTCGCGAACCAGATATGGGATCTTAATTAAATAACTAATGATATGATTTGCTGCCTGGCAAATCCCTACAAAATCATGTTTATACTTTAGTTTTTAGTTCTCCCCAAAACAGCGCAGATGGAGCTGCTCTTTCTCTTTCTCTCTCTCTCGATCGTTTAATCTCCATTTCCTCCCATATGCACGAGTACTATTGCTTTCTTGATCTCGAGACAAAAGTCAATTAAGGCAGATGCTTAATTACACAAACGGCGTTAATTTGGGAAATCAGCATGTGAAGTTTTGACCTTGTTTGACCACAAAATCATGAGTTGTGAAGTCATATAAGTTCCAACCAAACAATTTAATAGAACGATATTTGGTGGTATAATCAAGGTTCAACTCATAGTATCGGGAAATAAAATAAGTTTTTTTATCTTGAATTTCTGCTAGTCTCATACCAATATCAGTGTCATTGTTCGGTAATAAAATTTCTGCCACTCAGATTTAGCTCAATAAAATTATTCACTATATAGTTCAAGAAAGACATTTTCATAAGGTTTAAGGTAGTGTCTTAATTATTACGGAAGACTTATGTAACACGTTTGTTTGATTCATACATGAGAATATAAATATTCTTGCAACCCTCATAAGATTTTAGATAGTATATATTAATAATTATTATAGACCGGTCTTACATAGTCTTCCTAAATCAAGTTACATATCTCAAATTTGAATAACTGTTATGTAAGATAAATTTATCTTACCGAATTTTTAATTTATTTAATGCAAAATGATGAGATGATGAATAAAGTAGGTATAGTAAATAAATTTTATTTAATAATAATTGAAGTAACTTATAAAAAGTAATTTGAGAAATTTTTTTTAATAGTGAACCAAATTAGTAAGAAAGAACAAATTTGATCAACTATTCATAAGTGATGAAAATAATATCAACACATAATTAAATTATTTTATTACATAACCAATAAATAAAATATTTATCACACTTTACAATATACTTTTTTCCACTCACTATTCCCTTCACTGTTATCCATATAACAACATTTTCGTTCACATTTTAATTTTCTCTTCCTTCTTTTTCCCTCCTCTCCAAATTTTCCTCTCCCTACATTTTCTTCCTTCCTTCATAAACATAGTGTAAGTGGTCCAAGCGAAGAAGGCATCCAAGTTTGCCAACAATTGGATGGAAAATAGAGATTTCAATGGGTTGGGTTTTGCCAAACCCAAACCCATGAGTTTATCCGTGAAAAAAACATGGGGGTAAAACCCACTGGGTATCTGCGGCTTTATGCGTACCCATGTGTTTTTGTCGTAAAAAATTTACATTAACCAGTTCCTATCAAAATAAAAGTCAAATATTAATCTCTCAATACAAATTATCCATATAAAACAACATTCTAGAAAATTCAAGCAAATCACAAATTAACCATACAAATTGTTCAACACCAATATAGAAAACTCAAGAAAATTGAAGCAAATCACAAATTATACATAAACAACATGATTAATTGAAAGCTTCTTCCTCCTTGTCAATTAAACTTCTTCACTCTCCACTAGATAATATAAACTTCATTCTAGACAATTAGAAAGAAAAAATTAGACACGTTTCCACAAACATAAAGAAGATTAGTTGTTTAAAATATTTAATATATCTGGAAAATTAATTATATGGGTGTGGGCGGGTACCCATAGAGCGGGTTTACCTAAACCCAAACCCAACCCGGTAAATAGTGAACGGATTTAAACTCAAACCCGACCCAAAACTCGTCAACATGAGTTTTACCCGCGTTAACCAGGTTGGGCCGGATAGGGTAACCACTACAAGAAAAGAGGTACTTAGTGACATTTCTTTAGGGACGGGCCTTATAGCCCGTCGACAAATGTATGAGATTGACGGAAGCTTTTTCCGTTTGGTGGACTGTCGTAATAATCATTCCACATGGACTTTATATTTTTTTAATCCATAGTCTCTAAGTTATTATTTAAATATAAATTAAAAGAAAACCCCCACATATTTGAGATTCCTCCGAGCCTTTTCCTTATTCTCTGTTATTTTTTATAGTTATGGACGGCACTCTCCAAACCCTAGCTATAGATGGCGTTTTCCCCTTCTCTAATCGTTCGTCGAACCTGCCAGTGTCAATGTCGCCACCGGTGGTACTTCCTTGCTCTCTCCTCGTTTCTTTGCTTTCTTGATCCTAGTTTTGTATTCAAATTGTCTTATCGATCATTGATCTTTGCCGGTCAGCATCGAGATCGTCGGCTGCACCAGGGGCTTCTCCGTTGTCTCTCCTCTTAAATTTTCTCCGTTGTCGACATTATTGCCCTCTGTCATCAGTTCCTCTTAATTGAAAGATCTCGAACTGGATTATGAGATCCTCATTCTCGGAGAAGTGTGGGAGAGCCATAGGAAAGCTGCTCGGCTGGGTTCTTCGAGGGAGATCCTAGATGGGTAATCCAAAATTCAATTCATGCACATGCTTAGATATTACAAGCTTACAACTATTTTGTTCATTTTCATTCATAATCGAACAGAGTATTTCACTAAGTTGGATGAATTTTGTCAGTTCCATGGAAGCTCTACCTATGAAACTTTGATCTGTTTATTACAGTTTCATACCCTTTTCCTTGGTGGTGGGTAGTTTAAATCTAATGCAATTCTTATCTCTGTTAACCCAAATTGTGGAGAAGTACTAGAAAAGAGATTGATGAACCATTATGCTATGCAGGACTTCATCATTGAATTGTTCATCTTTGTTGTTCACCAACTGTTTGATGAATGTCCTCAAAGAACTGTTTAACTTCAGTTAAGTGAAAACCTTGTGTATTTGCTTCTACGCTATTTGGTCCCCAATATGTTTCGTTTATTTTGGCCAATTACACAGCTTTTAAGTTTAAATTCATCTTGTTATTGGTTCTGTTTTGTTAAGCAGGTACACAACCCACGATTTCTATGTTTGCCCCTAACTTAATAAATGAGTTTCTGCAACTCGGACAACTAGCAGTGGCAATAGTGTATCAGTCCTAGATTCATTGACTTGTAATTAGAATGATGGAATTCCAGTTTTTCAGGAGCTTGCCATCAATATGGTTTATGCTCTTAGTACTTATACGCGGTAAATTTGTAACAGAGTCATATATTCAAAATCGCTAATTGGCTTATACATTGATGCCAATGGGCAGATCATGAAGCCTGCTTTTACTGTTTTATCGGAAGAAACTATTATGCATTCTTTGATTTATCTAACTCTTAGCATCAGCAATAATATATTTTTCTCAATAATCATGGTTACATCTTTGTCTCTTTCCACTGCTTTGGTTAAGTTGCACTCTCTGAGATTGAAGTTTAACATGTTCATCCTGTTGTAACAGACTCCACGCATTTTATCTGGATACTACCTACTCATTTTACTTCCTGTAGAGATTGATTATTAAGGTTTACAAGCGAATTCTTATACCGAAAATATATATTAGATAATGTAATATCAAGAATGTTAAGCATTGATAGTTATGAACATGAAGGGGAGAATCGCAATCCATATACATTGGTAAGAAGCTGGAAAATGGGTTCTTAAGGGCAGGTTTCGTGTGTTTGAATATGCATCTACAAGCTGACAAGTGCCCTGTTTTTTTTATTGGTTTGTGTTCTCTATATCATCAGGTGTGGGCAAGAGTTTGTGCTTCTGTGATGGCTCTTTGACTACTAGTTCTATCACCACTATAAGGTATGTTTTCATTGGCTGACACGTCATGTTACCATATTGGTTTTGGGTCCTGAGCGCTCTAAATTCTCCAAGTGATTCTCTTTTGCAGTATTGATTTTAAGATCAGAACAGAGAGTACAGAGAATTCTTATTCTTCTTTCGGACCTTGTGTTGTTGGTGAGCTTTCCTTTTCTCCTCTGTGATCTTGTTAACTGATGATCTGTTGCTATGCTTTACAGCCTACTACCTTGGAGCTATGGGTATTTTACTGGTCTATGATGTTACTGATGAATCATCTTTCAATAATCTTGTTTTGGGTCTTGTCTTTCCTATTAGCTGAAACTAAATAGGCCGAGCCATTCAAGTTTTATCTGTTTAAAAATCATCGTTGAAAAGCTTTGGGGTTTAATTAATCTTGTTTTGGAATATGCAGAGCATCTAATAGCATACTGTTTGGCCACGATGACGATTCTAGACCAGTTGTGGTCTGTCAGTAATTAATCGCTCTACTAACTTTACTATGATAAGTGTAACTTTAATTTAATGACTCCTCTCTGGTAAATTACCCCAGATTTTCCGCGTAAAGAAAGGCTAGCACAAGTTCTATTCCCATAATCTGTAAGTAATTAACCTAAACCCAGTAAGAAAAAGTTACTGCTCTCATTTATGGTTCTGAATTTTGATTGTTGGCGTTTAATTCACTCGATTGTTTCCCACTTACTACTATCTGCTGCAGACATAAGAAATTGGATCCGCAACATTGAACAACATGCTTCTTATAATGTTAACAAAATAATGGTTGGAAACAGGGCAGACATGGACGAAAGCATATGGGTATGCTTCAATTTTTATAACCTGCCTCTCTATCTATAAAAACTGGGTCTATGTCATACAATTCTCATAATTTATGCTTGTTCTGTTGGTAGGCGGTGCCTACAGCAAAGGGACAAGAACTTGTCGATGAGTACAGAATCAAAATATTTGTAACAGTTTTGTATATGGACTAACTTCGCTCTATATATACTAATCTAGTAATAAAGAGGAATGAAGGGGCAGGGAGTGAGACAGAAAGAGTTTAGAGAAGGGAGAGACGGAGAGTGTCTGAGTTTTGTTTACAGTTTTGTTTACATTACCGTCATGTATATCTAACTGTTAAACATAATGAGCAACGATAACTAGTTTGTATGGGATATTTTTGCAGGGCTGCAAGTTAATGAATTGTTGCTTCAAAGGATTCTGACTGGATTTGGTGGTGTAAGGAGTTAAGAGGAACTTTAAATAGGTATGAACTTTAGATTGTAGGTTTATTGGTACTAGAATTGAAAGAACATTGTATTGATGATTTCTGTTTATAATTTGCTGTGGAATTGAAGGATTGTTGATTGATGATTTGGTAATTCAAAGTAGTACCTTTTAACAAATGAAATTGGTTTTTCTTTAATTAGTCGGAGTTGTTATTTATTGTGTAACTTAGACCTTCTTTGTTTAACTTCGACCTTCTTTGTTTGATCTGTCCTGAAGCAGGTAAACGATGTTGTAGTCTACAAACAGAAGTAATAATCATGGTGAGTCTTCTTGCTTTTCAATTATAGATCATTGCATTCTATGATATGCCAATTTCTTTATTCATGCTTAGTAATTTTTTTTTACATATATTATATTTCTTTAGTCATGCTTATGTATGTATAAGTGTTGAACATAATGACTCACAGACCTTAATAAAAGCATTCTACTATGTTTGGTACTTGGATAATTAAGTGATTTGAATGAGATGTTTCTGCAGGGCTCCCAGATAATGAAGAAAGATGATCTAGCTTGCCCAGTGTTGGAGTTTTGCCTTTGTTACTTTAAAGGGTTCTGACTGGATTTGGTGGTATAAGGAGCAGAGAAGTTCTGGTAGAATGTAAACTCTAGATTTTGGTCTGCTGGATATATCATTGAACTCACTTCTTTGTTTCTGATTTGCTTGTTCAAGTAATATTTTTGACATTTTGGTAGAATGTCAAGCATGGAACTTCGTAGAATTTGAGTTTGAATGAATGTTGGTTGATGATTTGGTAATTCAAAGTCAATGGGTTTCTTGAAACAGCAGGTTTGAGATGTGGTCATTAAAACAGGTGGCTGCAGAAAAGACTGTTTATTCGTGACGGTCAGTTGCCTTTTGCGACGGTCTGAAATCGTGGCTAAATAATATATACAATTCAAGAAATGTTCATTTAACGACGCTTTTATTAAAAATAACGTCGGTTCCGTACGTCGCTAAATATGTCGACGGTCAATGCGACGGTCGACCAAAGTCGTCGCTAAATAATTTAAGGACTGCTGGGTCGGCGACGGCTGGCTGTCTGTCGGTAAATTATTTAGCGACGGTTTTGCCCGTCGCTAAATGTCCGGATAACCGTCGCTAAAGGACTGTTTTGTTGTAGTGAACCGTGGGTTCATATTTTGCTGCCATCCCTATTGGGAAACTCAGAGAAGCAGTGCACGTGACCATTCCACTAGCCCATCTATGATTCTCAGTCCCTTCGTCAGGGTAGGGTCAACTGGTGGGTTGACTATTTAGGCGGATTAGGCAGTCAGGTAAGTTTAGGTGGAGTTAAATTAGAGTGACTCGACTTTTTGTTAGCTAACTCAATAGTCCTTTTAGCCACGCCATAAAAAAAAATTGATAGCATTAAGTCATTAATGGAGTCTGATGGCGAGTGACTAACAATGAAAGTGACTAACAAGAAATTAAAAAAAATTAGGTAGTAAACATTAAATTTTTTTATTATCTAACTATCTAAGTGACCAACCATATAATTCAGATAAGTATTATTATAGTGTCATTGAATGCTGCATTACAGCCTGGCAAATCCTTACAAGATCATGTTTATACTTTTAATAGCTTTGTCTCTATTTCCTCCCACGTGAGTAACTGAGTACTATTGCTTTCTTGATCTCGTTACACAAACAGCAATCTGGGAAATCAGCCTGTGATACTGTGATTGAGCAGACGTTTGACCTTGTTTGACCACAAAATCATGGTTTGTGAAGTGACTTGAGGTCGAACTGAGCAAATTAATAGGATGATATTGTCTGATATAATCATGGTTCAACTCATAGTATAATAAGGAAAAAACATGAGAATTTATCTTGAATCTCTGCTAGTGAGACCCATATCGTTATCACTGTTAGTCTATAAAATATACAACGGAGATTCATGAATCATGATTTCAATTTCTCCATTTTGAAAAATGCTGCTTCGTGATTAATTTCAAGATGGGTATTATGGACACTTCGCCTACATTAAATTATACTTTCCATATTGTCATACAAAAAGCCCAATCCCTGCTTCCAATTGGGCTTAATATTTGTTCCTCTTGGAATTTTGCCAGATGGAGCCCAATTCCCATTTTTTATGAACAAATTCCCATTGTTTGTGCTAATATTAGTTTCAAATTTTACGGCATGTGGATATATGTTCTTATTCGCTTACAATTGGAATGAATTAATTGATTTTTTTATTCAATATAATTTATAGCTATATTGATATATGGAAAAGGATAGAGTTTTCATATAATTTATAGCTATATTGATATATGGAAAAGGATAGAGTTTTCATATAATTTATAGCTATATTGATATATGGAAAAGGATAGAGTACAAAACTCTATCCTACAAAACTTTCATAGAAACTCATCGCCCACCCTCCATTCCATTCTCCATCTAAGGACTCAGATTAATTTTCAACAAGTTCATAAAAATTGGGGTTTTTTTTTTAACTAAGTGGGTTTTCGAACTAAGTTCATAAAAAGTGGTGTTGTTGACAAGTACAAAGCCAGACTAATCGGATATGTTCAGAGACCTAACATTGACTATACCGAAGTCTTGTTCCCCATATCAAGGTGGGATACCATTAGAATAGTTTTGTTCTAGCTACTCATTATGGACGTAGTATCGGGCAGCTTGATGTCAAGAGTGCATTTATGCATCAAGAACTTACTAAGGATGTCTATGTTAAGCAACGACAAGACTTTGATGTTGATGGGGAGGAAAATAAAGTCCGCAAATTAAAGAAGGGTTTATATGGGTTAAAGTAAGCTCCAAGAGCTTGGTACATTCGAATTGAAGTCTATTTTTTCAATAATGGGTTTGAAAGATGTCAGAATGAAGCTACTTTGTTCATAAAAAGAACTGAGAAGGGCATGTTAATTGTGAGTCTATTGTGAATGACGTCATGTATATCATCACCAGTCCTCAAACAATTGAAGAGTTCAAACAATTAATTGAAGAATCAAACACATAGATGTGAGATTTCATTTTATGATGGATTTTGCAACTGATAGAGTTGTGGAAGTGCAGCACTGTGGGACACAAGATCAAGTTGCTTATATAATGGCTAAGGCTTAGCTTTGACACTGGAGAGATTCCAGAAGAAGAGAGGCGCAAAGCTTGGTATCTGTAATCTCTTGAAGTTGAAGAAAAGTCAAGGCGAAGATGGTGTGATGAACTGAAGCTCTTTGTTTGATAGACTTCAATTCAGGGGAGGATTATTTTGGAAGTCTAGTTTAAATATCTAAGTTAAAATTTTGTGGTTTTGGTTAACTTCAGTTTAGCATTTTTAGTTTGTAGTTCAGTCATTTGACTCCAAACGTGCTTAGTATAATCAGGAACAGAGGGAGAGCTGGATTCAAGAGAAAATTATATAAATTAAGTATAATAATTAATTGCGAGTGAAATTAGGACACATCTAATTGAGAATCATTGACATTATAAATGTTTGATGTAAGATTTACAAATAATTGACATGCAAATTTTTTTAACCAACCACGTAAACACGATAATGGTGCGTGTATATGATCTAATCAAAATCAAAGTTGTACTTATTAAATATCAATAACATGTTTTCATCAGGATATAGCAATTTTATCTAAAAAATATTTCAATAGTACATAATACAACATAATTAATGTCGTCATAAATGTTGTTAGAACCTATGATGATCGAAAGTTCTTGTGTTCGAATCCTGACGACCTTATTTGTTAAGCACATGATATTCAGAGCCATGCAAATTCAAGCTCGTATAATTGACTTTTGTTTGAGGGGTGTTTGGTAATAAATTGTAAAAGATTCATTACCGACCCTCTCCCAACAACATGAATTATTGGCTTTAAACGATTTTTGACAAAGAACACCATTAAAAAGCGAAAGAATTATCAAATCATGAGTAATTATTTAATAGGATACACAAAGAATGATATTGTTTGATAGTTTTTACTACTAATGTCAGTGCATGCACGTGCCAACATGTCCTGTGGAATAGTGTCTCAAAAACATTGGGGCCTCAATCCAGGAAAAAATTCAAAACTACCACTGTTTAAAAAAATTTATAAAAATACCACCCACTGCAAATAATTTCCAAAAATATCATCGTTTATATAAAACCGCGCATTTAATGAGCGGTTTTTAATAAAACCGCGCCTCCAGGCAGCGGTTATAGAACAAAACGCGCCTCCAAGGCGCGGTTTGACCTTGCATGGCTGTCAAACCGCGTGGCCACGTGGCGGTGAATCAAACCGCCCGTTCGAGGAGCGATCTGACGGCCAAATCGCGTGCCAACTCAGCGATCCGCGTCGCCCAAGGAAACCGCTCCCTCGAGGCGCGGTTTGACTGTTGGGAAACGCAAACCGCATGTTGGAGGCGCGGTTTTCGGTGGGGTAAAATGACTGAACCGGCCCTCCCCCACGTGGTTTCTCACCTATAAAACCCCCCCTCCCCTTCATTTTTCTGCACACCAACCACATCCCCCCCCCCTCTCCCTCTAACTTCTCTCTACCCACCCCCCTCCCCACCCAAAAACCTTAGATTTAGTTTTTTTGTTGGTTGTGGCTAAGTCTGATCTGCCTCCAAAAAAAATTTTCTTTGGTTTTCACTAAAAAACCGTCGAACCTCTGTCCGGATTCCGAGAGAATGGCCGATTTCGCTCAAGAAGAGGGCCTTTTTTATTATGATTATCAAATGGTACGTACTCATTTTCCCCAATTGTTGTTATTGTTATAATGATTTATTTAATTTATATACTAATGATTTATGTAGTATGGAATAGGTACACGGTCGTGAGCTACCTCATCACCATCTGCGTCTGAATCTGGACTGGAATCATCAGCACCTTCCAGCGGATCGTCGCTGTCTGCACTTACTTCGCCTTCCTCTTCTTCAACCTCAGGGTCACTAACTGGACTTGGATTGACCTCTTCTTCCATCTGATTATCAGCATGAAAGGCACCTTCACCTTCACTAGCTCCGTAATGGTAGTTGTGGTAACTAACACCGCTTTGATAGAAGTTGTACTCGGGTGGGTACTGGTAGCCTGCTTGTTGGTTATAATCCGCCTGTTGAGCTTCTTCTTCATATGAAGGGAAGGATTGATGACTTCCTCCAGTTCCATGATGATACTCCTGCCTCCAGCTCGACTCTTGGAAATCCTGGTGGGGATGATCTTCGTATAATACACTCCCACCGTGGATACCAGATGTTTGGCCATCTCCAGAATGACCTACACTGCCTTCGACGACCTCGGTGTAAACGAACATCTCCGCTTGCTTAATTTTATTGGTGGTCAAAAATTGGACCATGGCATCAACGTCCTCCTGAGTGGTAAGGAGGAATTCCTCATTCCTGAGCGACCCGTCATGTCTGTTTGGATATCGATACACCATTCGATCAACTCTTCTAGTGCCATCCATGCAGGTAATCTGAGTGCACATTTGATGGAGCTCTTCAAGCATCGGTCTCGTACGGACCTTCATTTTATAAAAATTGCCACCGACGTAACTTACACCCTTTTCGGTCTCTTCCGTGTAACCATTCCACTGCAACCCAAGCGTGAACCTTTGGAATGTCATCTGCAATGAAAAGTAATACAAGTTACTAACATAACATCACAAAGGACAATGAAAAGTAATTAAGTTACTAACACAAAATCACAAATGGCAATGAAAAGTAATTAAGTTACTAACATAAAATCACAAATGACAATGAAAAGTAATTAAGTTACTAACATAAAATCACAAAGGACAATGAAAAGTAATTAAGTTACTAACATAAAATCACAAAGGACAATGAAAAGTAATTACGAAACAAACTTACGAATTAACGTTAATCGCAAAAACTAAATAATTTAAAGCTGAAATTTTAAGAAGGAAGAGGAGGAGGTGTGAAGAATTGAGTTCTCTGAAACCGCCTTTTATAGGCAAATTTTGCAGCAAAACCGCTGGGGGGGGGGGGGAGCGGTTTTAGGTCTGCCATCCAGCCCTACCCCCTGCATGCCGACATGTCCGACATGTTGGCTGTCGGGTGACCAGGCACAAACCGCGCCTTGGGGCAGCAGTTTATGTCCTGACATTGTAAACCGCCGCTTGGGGAGGCGGTTTGTAATGCCGACATTTAAACGCTCCCCTTGAAGCGTTTTGTGGTAGGGTTAGCCTATAACCGCGCCTTCCAGAAACGTTTTTTTCTGAAAATTAAAAACGCTTCCTAGAGGCGCGGTTATAATGTAAAACGCTGCCTGGAGGGGCGGTTTCATTAAAAACCGCTCATTAGAGGCGCGGTTTTATATAAACGATGGTATTTTTGGAAATGATTTGGAGTGGGTGATATTTTTGTATTTTTTTTTTAAACAGTGATAGTTTTGGATTTTTTCCCTCAATTCATGAGCCTAAAGTGAGTTATTAGGTTACGTTTAGTTTTAACTTTTACCCAACAAAACTTCATTGATACTTAGTACATCGATCATATCACAACTCCCTTAATATATAAAACTACAAAATTTTACAATAATTACAATCATATTTTTTTTGGGTATAATTTCAATAATATATAACCTAAAAAATAAATAATATTATTTTAAACAAAATTTCCAAAACGCACACACTCTTACTCCACAATATAATTAGTTTCACTCGCGCCGTTGAAAATAGTGGGAAAACGGTAAAAGTTACAAACTAAATGGGAATGCTTTCAAAGAGCAGCGACTTGATGCGATCCTGAAGACATGGAACGCTGCTGCTGCTGTTATGCTCGTTGTCATCATGGAACGACCCATCATTTCCATACACAAATGGAACCATTCTTGCAGAATCGACGACGGCCCTCGCAAAGACGACCGGAAATGTCGTCGCTAAAGATTCATGATTGAGTTGTTCCCATGTCTCTTCGATCATATCCATCACGTGCTCCCTAGCTTCACGGACCGACAACCCAGGATTCTCCTTCAAGTAGCAATCCACGTACGACGCGTCGTAACCCACGTGTTCATCGTACTGCATGGGCCATGCATGCAATCAAATTGTAATTCACCATCGTACCAAAACACAAAAACACTAAAGTGAGAAAACGACTCCATTTGGCGGCGCTGGATCTGTGCTGTCTAAGCAAAAATCCAGTCATAGATTGGTCAATCCAATCCCATAGATTCAGCCGCGGTGGAAGAAACGAAATTAAGTGTCCTAAGAAAGCTGCACATACCGTGGAAGAAAGGTCGTCGGACAGCCTCAGAATTTTAGCAACCGGCGATATTAATGGCGGATTGTCGCCATCGACGAGGCTCACGTTTTGTTTCGTTATGCCCTGGCCCAACAGGAAGAAGAAGTGAAGGAGGACTAGTTGGACGCCGGAGCTCACTATTCCGTTCTTCAGGTAATCTTCCGACGCCGGACATGTCCCATTTCTCATCCATTTGGCTTCAACTAAAAATGCCTCGACCAATTTTGCCCACTATAGACGTGAAAAAAGAAAAAAAAAAAACCCTAGTAATATGCACTAGTTCGAATTGTGAGATCAATATCATACGTAAAAACATGTATTTGGATGAGTCAACTTACGCCTCGTTGGAGCGAGTGGATCGAGTTGTATCCATGTTTTTTGTGCACATCGTAGCCAATTTGATTAATCACGTGATAGAGAGCCATGAAGCATTTCCTCATGTAATCAGGCAATTTCTCGGCTATTCGAATGTCCCATCTGCACGCAATCGAAAGAGCACTCTCTTACCATTTATAAATTTACAATGATCATCATTAAGGATAACAATACACAGTTACGCACTCCTTCCATGAATTGATTATTACCTAGTAACAGCTTGTGTGAAGAGTGTGAGTTCCTCCAACGACGACCCATAAATGTCGAAAATGTCATCGATTAGGTACACGAAGGAAGCGATCTTGGCGAGATCGATCCTATACTCGGAGAATCCAGGGCCTGCTAGGGTTGACATTGGCCATAGGTAAGCTTCGACCTGCAGACGATCTCTCCCATGATTCACTGCCAAACCGATCTCATTCCACCACCTGCTGAAAAGTACTTAACATGAGTAATTAATCTTCCATTTAATTATTAGCTGGATTATACCCTACACATTGTGATCATTATATTATATTCCTCAATCGATCACTTTACTTGGAGATCTTAAAGAGTTCTTCTTGATGAGTCGCCTGATTCATGTTGAAGTCTAACTTAGCGAAATCCTTGAGAGTCTCCACGTAATGATGCTTCAAGTACTTATCATTTGATGACGTTCTTGCCGCGAAGCTGCTCAAGTAATCCTTAATCGCCAGCCTGGGTATGCTCCTGCGGCAAGGATGCTTCAGAGTATTGGCGACGGTTTCAGTCGTCGTCGCTAATTCTTCTAGGAGAAAACCATTGCCGACGGAGAGATTTGGCGATGGCGACCTGGTGGCGATCCATGAACGTAGCCAGTGTGAGCTGAATTCCCTAGCTTCACGCAGTATGTTTTCTCCTGGAGTAATCCACTGTGAAGCTTCAAAAACCTCCATCATTACTTTCACGTCTTGGCTTAGATTAGGGTTAAACTTCCCTTCTCCATTCTTGAATTTTCCGAACACATCTAAATAACAGCACGTGCGTGTAACAGCATTGTGAGTAAAGAAATCTCGTGACTTGGGCCAAATCAAAATTTTGTACTAACAAACAATCCCATATTCGGGGCTTAGATTTGAGGTAAAAAAATCCGGATAAAGACAGGATAAGAGACCCCCAACACCTAAAATCAAGATCAAATTGGGATCGGATCGGGTCAAGACCGGATTGTATCCAATCCAATCTTTGGTCCTTATATTCTCGAAAAGACCAGATTGGGACCAGATCAATTTTGTCCAATTTAACCGGACCGGACCGTATAGCCACCCTTAATGACAGTTGATTTAGATACAAGATGTAGCAGTCGGATTCATGTAAGATTATAGGTTTGATTTAATTTACAAATAGCTAGATTTATGAAATTGAGATGTTTCACTACATGCACAAATCTCATATTAGCCATGGTGGAGTCACCTGGGTCAAGGGAGGTCCTTTGTACGATTTTGTTGCAAAACTTTAGTATAGTACCATTTCATTGTGATTGTGGATTAAATCCAAGAAATCTCAGTTATCGTAAATAATTTAACAAAAAATAGTAATATTTTGTGATTTCTATTTAACTTCTAATGAATATATTATGTTTCCATAAAAATGAATATATCATGTAAATGAATTTAATATAAATAAAGATTCGAAACTTAATGGCGTCTGTTGCTACCAGTTGTCATTGCAAACGTTTGGAAGAAAAACACTTAATGCAACGAACAACGTGAAAAAATACTTCAAAATCAAATGAATAATTAAATCATGAATAAATATTCTCGGCGCGGCGGCATACCTTAAGAATGGTATCCCTCATAATTTTCACGATGGATGTATTTTAGAAACTTTTTAGAATATAAAAACACATCTTATAATTTACGTATGGTTTTTTTTTCCTTCGTGTTGGACCTAGCTTTGATGAATTTCTAGCTACACCTATGCATATTAGTTAAAAAAAAGGAGTTAGGATGAGAAAGAGTATCATATATACCCGAAGGAATGCGATAACCTTGTTGCCTCATGAGTCGGAAGTTTAAGGAAACTTCGAAAAGCCCATGGGAGCTCCCGCCGGCCGCCATCTTAGCAGCAATACTGAATTCATCACTAAGAACACCGTCGATGTTTTCCTGGAAGTGGTAGTCGATGCCCAGTCGTTGAACGGCGTCGATCATTACTAGGGTTTCGACGGGACATGTAAGCATTCTTTCTTTCCTCGTCGCGACCATGAACGAACGTTGTGCTTCCTTGAGCTTCTGAGCATGTTTTTCCACGAGGCAGCATCGAGAAAGCATTGGCTTGTTGTGGCGTTGGCTTTTGATGCTTCTTCGATGGAATAATGTGGAGGGAGAAGTAATGAACGAAGGCTGGATGGTTATCATTGTCCGTTGTTTGGAGGAGTTATCAGTTTTAAGTGCCCTTTAAATGTACCTCTAGTTACACACATATATAGTGGAGCTTTGGAGTACTTCCGTACACTCCCGCCATGAAGGAAAATAATCGATTCCAATGACTCGAATTCTTGAGATATTTTCGAGAAATACGCCACTTAGAACGAAAGTTAATTTGGTGTTGAAGATTGGACACGCATGTCATATCGTATGATTAAATGATCAACGATTAATATGATGTGGTTTGGTGAGCAATTCAATACACTAAACTCCATAATCAAATGTTCTGATATCGTATTAAGAACCCTTTGATCGTGCTAATTTTCTGTGTATATAAACCTCGTATTAGATATGTATATGAAGTTGCGAATGACAGAAATTGATGGAATGTGATTGCATGATAGGCGTCAGAAATTGATCAGGTCATTTTCCCACACGCATTTGCGCTACAAATTACACCTCGTACATATTCTACGTTCACAATCGGGTAGAAATGTATTGAAAAGCGGTGGTTGTGGGTTCCCTTTCAAGGAGTATTACTCGATTGTTGCAACCAATTACGCACTCGAAACGACGAAGTAAGCAAAAAACGAAAAATAAGGAAATGTAAAAGCCTACAAAACAACCAGCTGAGAAGAGTCAAAGAGATCCCATGCGCATGGGTCATTACTGACGTCAGACAATGATCTATTCGGGGCTGAGTTGTTTGTGCTTGACATGGTATCAGTGGCTTAATGTGACGTAAAAGTCTTATGTTCGAATTCTGATAACCCTCATCTGTTCTGTTAAGCACATGGTGCTCGGACATGTGCAAACTTCAAGCTCATACATATGGTGGTTTCATTTGAGCGAGTGTGTTAGTAAATGATATATAATCCACGATTGAATTTCTCCCAATAACTCAAATTATTGAGATCGAATGTTTCGTGACATCATTCTCAGAAGTGTGGACCAGTGATATTGTTTAAGGAGCATGAATGCTTGAAAAGTCTAGACTTAGAGATAGAGAGGGTCGGACGAGGAAGAATAACGTGTTGGAGAGGTATACACTGATTCGACAGATGCATCATGCATGGATCGGAGTTAGTATTAATGGTTTTATCTGATACTTACGGTTCGTTTGATTTTTTACTATCAGGAGGAGGAACTGTTGGAATTGGGTTAAGGGATACGAGAGCGGATCCCATGACTAAGGGGGTCTTTAGTCACTTGACTAAGCCCCTCATAGCCATTAGATCTGGAAATTTCAATCCAATGGTTAAAAAGTATGAAGGGCTATTTAATTAATGATAAGGGTAGTTTGGGTATTATGGAAAATTACGAAGTATACAAACCAGATTTACAATCACTACAAACCATACAAACATACGAACAGTACAAACTAGAGCGACAAAACATACAAACAGATTTACAAACATTACAAACGTATGAACTGTACAAACAATACAAACTAGACCGATAAACAATACAAACCATACAAAAAGAAAAAACAACCAGGTTGACTTTGGAGGCTTCATCCCTATATAGAGGGGCTCCTTCCCAAAGTCAACCCGGGTGTTTTTTAGACATACAAACATGGTGGACAAAAATGACAAACTAGACCAAAAATTCATACAAACTAGAAAAACACCCGGGTTGACTTTGGTGGCTTCATCCCTATATATTATAGAGGGCTCCGTCTCAAAGTCAACCCGGTTATTTTTTAGACATACAAACATTACGAACATGGTGGACAAAAATGACAAACTAGACCGACAATCCATACGAACTAGAAAAAACACCCGAGTTGGCTTTGGAGCAATGCTGTCAAAGCCGAGCCGGAGTATGACCCGGCAACGTGAACGGCTCGGTCATTAGTGGTCCAACCGGCATTAGACCGTTTAAAAACCGTTTGAGAACCGGTACCTAATAAAGGGTCATCTGTAATAATAGACACTTCTTAATCATGGTAAACCACAAGTAAATTACTCTCTTAAACCATTCTAGAACATCAGTTCTCCATTTCCTTTACACATCTCCCTCCCCAACCTCTCGCCCCGTCCACGTCACACATCTTCCAAATCTCTCTCCTCTTCCTCTCGCTCTCTTCTCTCTCTGAAAGGGGGGAAATAAGATCGACCAGACAGAAACACTTCAAACTCCCTTCCACCGCCACCGCAGCCCAAATGACCACCGCTACAGCCACCGTCACCACCATCAACGACCTCCCTGAGGCTATCCTCTCTGTAATCGTCGCCTCCGTCTCCGACATCCGGGCACGCAACTCCCTCTCCCTAGTGAACCAGAAGTTCGTTTCATTGGGGCGAGCCACGCGCTCCTCCCTCGCCATCCGGGGCAACGCGCGGGACCTCTTCCTCATCCCGACCTGCTTCCGATCCGTCACTCACCTCGACCTCTCTCTGCTCTCCCCCTGGGGCCACTCCTTCCTCCTCTCCTCCGCCGACGCCCAATTGCTGGCCGCCCTCCTCGCCGGCAAGTTCCCTTCCGTCACTTCCCTCACCGTCTACTCCCGATCTCCCCTCACCCTAGACGTCTTGCTTGCCCACTGGCCCCGATTGAGCCATCTCAAGCTCATCCGCTGGCACCAGCGCCCTTCCTCCCTCCAGCTCGGCGACGATTTCTAGCCCCGACCCCCTTTAATTTTTGAACTATTTTTTTTAATTAAACCAACCGGTCGAATGTAAAAAACCGGACGACCGGCTCGAGCGGTTCGAGCGGTTAACCGCTTCGGCCGCTCGCCGGCCGCCCCAAAGAACCAGTCCGGCTAAATAGCTCATCTGATCCGGTTTTGTGCCCGGTTGGCGGTTTTGGCGGCTCGGCCGGCCGGCTCGGCTCGGTTTTCACAGCACTGCTTTGGAGGCTCCATCCCTATATAGAGGGGTTTCATCCAAAAGTCAACTAGGTTGTTTTTTAGACATAAAAACATTACAAACATGGTTGACAAAAATGATAAACATGGTGCACAAAAATAACAAAGTTTACAAACATTTCCGACAAACACTACAAAATAACAAAGCGTACAAACATTACAAAATAAACCGACAAACAGTACAAAGCATACTAACCGTACAAAATATCACTAAAAATGACAAACAATACAAACCGAATCTATACAAACATTATAAAATGGGTCGGCAAACATCACAAAATCCAACACTGACGCAGGGAAATTTCCTCCAGGTGCCGGAAAACTCTCTCTCTCACCAAAAATGGTGACTTGGGACTCAAAAAATTGTGGCCACAGCAAATCTTGGTCGACGGAGACCTTTTTTTGGCCGGCAAATCTTGGCCGGCGGAGAAAGCTTTTTTGGCCGGTCTCTCTCTCTCCTGGGAATGGAAAGGAAACCTGGTAAGCATATTGCCTGGGAATGGATGGGAAGCATGTTCCCAGAAAAGGCAAGGGATGGGTCGGGGACACCACTGGCCGGCGCAAGGGACGGGTCGGAGACGCCAATGGCCGGCACAAGGGGAGGCGGAGACGGAAGCGCTGGAATACGTTTTTTATTCATTTTAGAATTAAAAATAAAATATAAATATTTTTTTTTTGATAAGGGTGAGAATTGCATTAAAATAGAACCAAAACGGAACCAGTCCGAGATACAGAAAGAAAAAAGCGGCACCAGAGGTGCAGCACCCACGGAAAAGAAAAGAAAACGAAAAAAAAAAAAAAAAAAAAAAAAAAAAAAAAAAAAAAGAAACACCCGACAGCCTGAAAAGGACAGCCACGCACAGAGAGCAAAGTCCCTCACGAAACAAGGACCAAGACCAAGACCAAACTGTCAAACTAACGGGAATCAAAGCCCCATCCGACCACAACCATCACTGAGAAGAGCAGAGGAAAACAGACAGAGAGAAGAAGAAGACAGGGGCGAGGCGCGGTCAACAACCCGGCCGCCACCAGCAACCCGAACCCGAACAAGGATACCAGAGGATTCCAACTAGCCCAGCACCTGAAAGGCAGCCGACAAACACGACAACAGCCAGCGAACGAACCCACGGCAACAACCCCACCGAAAAATGCCCCTGTGTCAGTTCAGCCTCAAGGGGCGGAGCCACTCCATCACCTGAATCCTGCTGATCTTGCCTTTCGCGACTAGCCAATCCGCCGTGGATCTGATAGCAATCCAAAAGACCTCCTTGGCGCTTCTGCTAGCATCCTGGAAAACACGCCTATTCCTCTCGAGCCAAATTTGCCAGCACACGGCGTGGAGAATGCAGAAGCCGATCCAGTCCGTCGTAGTGTCCGGAACGTCACTCTTCCAACACTTGATGGTGTCTAGGATCTGCTCTTGTGGGGCGAAGGAATCACCACACATTCTTCTTACTTCAGTCCAGATCTCCAACCCGAACTCGCACCGAGTAAACAAATGATCAACCGATTCTTCATCCCTACAACACATACAACATCTGTTAGCAATGGAGCAGCCCCTCTGTTGAATTTTGTCCATCGTCAATATCCTCTTGTGCGCGACCATCCACATGAACGCATTGATTTTCGAAGGAATGCTCTTTCTCCACACGGATTCACTAGGGAAGTTGGGCACCCCATGGAATCGCCCATCCGTCAATAACCTGTACATGGAGCGCACTGAAAAGCTCGAATCGGGATTAGAACACCACGCCAATCTGCTGGGGCCGCAAACGATCCTGTGCTTATCAATAGAATTCAAAAGAGTGAAGAAACTCTCTCTCTCCCTCTCAGCCCCTCCCCTCAAGACTAAAGAAAAATCGATATTCCACTCAATATTCCAATTAGGACCCTCACCTGATCGGCTTATGACATCAGGCAGCAAAGCCTCGGGATTCGCAGCGGCAGCGGCAACTCTCGGGAAGGAATGCGCAAGAGTCGTCTGAGGTAACCAGCAGTCGTTCCAAAAGGAAACACCCGCCCCGCCACCCGGGTCAATAACTGCCACTTTCCAGAATTCACCGTATTCCTTAGAGATGTTGGCCCACACCGAACTTCCAAACCCATTCCTGCACTGTTTGCTCTGCCACTGGGAATTGCTAGCCTTGTATTTGAACTCTATGAGTTGTCTCCACCAGCTCTCTCTCTCCGTAGCGTACTTCCAAAGCCATTTAGACAGCATAGCTTTGTTAAAGCAGGCCATATCTCTAATACCCAAGCCCCCATTCTCAATACTTGCTTTGCAAATCTCCCACTTACTGAGCGGGGTCTTGTGATTATCCCCGGCACCGCTCCACAAAAATCTTCTTTGGATTGCCTCAAACCTGTTCAGCACACCGATAGGAGCCCGAAGTAAGGAGAAGAAATAAATCGGCTGCCCGGAAAGAGTACTTTTGTTCAACACCAAACGGCCACCGAAAGACAGAAATCTACTCTTCCATCCGTCAAGCCTCTGCTCAAACTTATTGATAATAGGATCCCAAGTGGAGATAGCATTGACCTTGGCGCCGAGAGGGAAGCCAAGGTATTTCGAGGGCTCGTTGCTCCAATTACACCCAAAAGTAGCAGCAAAGAATTCCGGAATCGCTACATCCCCAACAGTAATCATGACCGACTTCTCAAGGTTAATCCTCAGTCCCGTAACACTTTGGAAACACACCAAAGTAGCGAGAATATTCAGAACTTGATCATAAGCAGCGTCGCAGAAGATCAAAGTGTCATCGGCGAACAGAAGATGTGTAACCTCACCATTGCCATTTACTTCGTCCATACAAAAGCCTCTAATCTTCCCCTCCTCCTGCAATTTGTTCAACATGAAGGAAAGAATGTCCATAATGAGAGTGAACAAACCGGGAGAGAGCGAATCACCCTGACGCAACCCCTTCTGCGGCTTGAAGTACCCCTTCGACTCGCCGTTGATCAAGGTGGATATGACCGGGGAACACATAGTACCTTTGATCCATTTATTCCACTGTGCCGGGAAACCGATAGATGACATAGTCTTAAACAAGCAGTCCCAGCTCACGTTGTCAAATGCCTTTTCGATATCCAGCTTAAACATAAGTCCCGGCTTGCGACTCTTCCTGCGGCTGTCCAGCAGTTCGAAAGCAATAAGACCAGCCTCAGAGATCTGCCTTCCTCTAACCGAAGCATGCTGGTTCTGAGACACAATCTTGGGAAGAACATTGCTGAGACGACGGGCCAGCACCTTGCTAATAATTTTATTCAAGCTGCTCATCAGGCTAATAGGGCGGAGATCCTTGATGTCCTCCACGGCATCACGCTTCGGCAGGAGACAAAGAAATGAGTGTGTAGCACACTCCGGCAGAACACCAGTATTGAAAAATTCAGCAATGGCGTTCAAGAACTCCTCCCGGATGAGAGACCAAGCCTTTTTGTAGAACTCCCAGGAAAACCCGTCCGGCCCGGGGGCTTTCCCCCCGTCGCAGTCCGCCAAGCTGACCCAAACCTCCTTTTCCGAAAAAGCACAGGTCAAGGCCGCAATATCAGCGGCATCAATTCTCCTATCGGTGTGCGACCTCGGAAAAGGACGCCTCGAAACAGTATCCTTGAACAAATTCTGGTAATACCCCACTATGCCTCTGCCGAGAAGCTCCCTCCCTTCATGCCTAACTCCATTGATGTTGATGCAATCGATCAAATTGAGCTTTCTTTTATAATTAGCAACCCTGTGGAAGAAGCTAGTATTGTTATCTCCTCCCTTCAGCCACAATTCTTTAGACAACTGTCTCCAATGAATCTCTTGGAGGAAAAAGAGCCTGCTCAAAACAGCTCTCAAATCCTGCCTGTCTGCTTGTTCCGCATCTGTAAGTGAACGAGATTCCTCCACCATGTCCAGCCCCTTGATAAGACCAAGAGACTCCTCGATCTTCGAATTGATATTGCCAAAAACCTCTTTATTCCATATTCTGATGGTCTGTTTCAGATTCTGAAGCCTCTTAACCCACAGGAAAGCTTTACCGTGCCCACTCACCGTGCTCCTCATCCACATTTCGAGACCCTCAAAGAATCTCGGGTCCTCCAGCCACATGTTCAGAAACCTCCATGGCCTTCGGACCCTAAGCGTAGCACCCCATTTGATCAACAAGGGATTATGATCCGATTCAACCCTTTCCATAGCCGTCAAAGTGCAATCAGGATACAAAGCATCAAAAGTCGCATTAATAAAAACTCTGTCAATACGCGAGAGGGACCCCGAACCGTCCCCTCTTCCCCACGTAAAGTTACAGCCTCCGAGAGGTAGTTCTAAAAGCTGGTTATTATCGATCACATCGTTGAATTTTTCCATCAACATCGTGCACCGCCTCCCACCCCTGTAATCCTCGTGGCCTCTAACAAGGTTGAAGTCACCTGCAATACAAAGGGGGTTGGCCGCGCTCAGACACAAGGAGTGAATTTCGTTGATGAACTCCAGTTTAGCTTCCCTCTCTTGAGGCCCATACACGACAGAGAGAGTCCAAACTTTTAGTGTGTTCACCTCCTGAAGATCGACAGACAAATGGAATCTCCCCTCCCTATACGCGAGAGCTCTCACAACTTCCTTGTCCCAGTAAACAGCTATCCCACCTGCGCTATTCTCCGCATTTTTTGCTGCCCAACCACTGTCCCTGTTTCCGCTGATGCTCCTGATCAGCTCATCATTGCAAACATTCCACTTGGTCTCAACGAGTCCAACGATCTTCGGTTTCCTCAAACACAGTACGCGCTTAATCCTGGACCTTTTCGCACTATCCCCCAACCCCCTTACATTCCACACAATCACAGAGCACTCCATTATACTGGTTCAGCATGTTCATCCCCACCCCTTCTGCGGCTCCTGCGATCACCTGAAACTGGCACCTCAATCAATCCTAGTCTGTGTCTTTCCATTTCAAGTTTGGACCTGGGTTGGCGCACTTTTCTCTGATGCATTTCCCTGGCGGTATTCTCTATCAATTTCACCACATTATCCGCTCCACCCTCCATTTCAATCTTGAATAAACTGCTCAATTCAATGCTGGTGGCCACGAGAGTTGCTGCGTCAAAGGGGAAATCGTCTTGACTTCCCACCCTAGCTTGACT